GCTCTAACTGGATATTAACCATTGTAATATATATATATATATATTATATATATGTGTGTGTGTATTATTGAAATGACTTGGTGACTGGGATGATCCCAACTTGTGACACTAAGCCGGCTAAGCTAAGCCTCAACTCTTTCAGAATTTTAGGATGGTGAAAACATCAACGGTTAAAACAAGCGTAACTCTAAACGGTTTGCCCACCAAAAACATGATCTTCAGCATATTCTCCAATGAGGGGGTCACAAACATACGTATATATACATATAATATCTATATAGCTACCCCCCCCTTACACCTAATATGGTTGGAAGCCACAGTGATCGCAAGGCCCTGATTGTGCCTCAACGGTTCCTATACGTGTGAGGGTCACCAGAGAACCTGAACGGGGCGGCAACCCCCTCATTCACAACTTGTTGGTGGCCTAAAGTAGTTTCTGTTTTAATCATATTTGGGGGATAATCCCAACTGAACATATCATATGTTTGAAGGGCTCAAAACCACCAACCAAACAAAAAATGTCACAATGTTGGCAATCAAATCCCAATTCATTACCCAACTGACTGTTGTCCTTTTCAAGGGCTTCCCTTTGCGGTCTCCCAACATGACTGGTAGACATCACACCTCACACGGCAACCAGATGTCCCAGAATTGATTGAACCTGAAATCTGCGTGGGAACCCCCCCCAGGAAAGCTTTAAATTAAATATTTGGAGGTTTTCAAACCATACTTTCCATGACTTTCCGGTAAACACATCTGTAAACCAAATCCATTGGAATCCATTGGCACCGAACTCGCAGGGTAATCTTTGCACTTCTGGACTACACTGACGATGGCGATATCTCCAGCGAGGAGTCTGCAGCCTCAGATGGCCTCAGCCTCCAGAAGTAATCGGAAAACCCAAAAACAACTTGTAGACCTTCTAGAAACACTGCCGTAGTTTCGGAAAAAAACATGTTGACTGGTTGGTGGTTTCAAACATTTTTTATTTTCCATAATATATGGGATAATCCTTCCCATTGACTTTCATATTTTTCAAGATGGTTAAAACCACCAACCAGTTGAGGTCCCATTTGGGAGATGATGGCAGATGTTTTTTGTGGATACGATGGGACTGTTGGATTTCTTTGTCGTTGCTGTGATTTGAGCAGCGGGAGTCGAGTTCGGCCCATGCTGCTTCACAACGGCCAGGATGATAAGATCCTGCTACGGCATCACTGGATCTACTCCAAACTTCCACCTAGCACTCGATCGAATCCTTTTGGGAGTTCAGATGTTGGTGGATGTTGGTGGTTTTATCATGGGGTATGTTTGGGAGGAGGATGCTCGTACTTGCCTTAAGCATTTTCACCATCCTTGATCATTGATGTTTCTCCTTCATGCTGAGGTTCGAAGTGTTGGAGAAGTACAAGAAAGCCCCTTTGGAGAAACATTGACATGGGCTCCACCTTTTGGCACTAACTAATGCAGTCCACATCCCAGTTCGCTTCTTTCAACAAGCCAGTATACACGTAGAAGTACTTGTTTCTGGCATGACAACTGGATGTTGGCTCTAGTTTGTAGGATGGTTGGCCCGAAATCAGGGCCTCCATGGAATCCACCAGCCTTTGTAATTGCAAGGCTTCATTGCCAATGGAAACTGCATCCCAGTTGCGCCAGCGGTGGGTGAGAAACCTCCACAAGTACACATATATATGTATATATACACATACATATATATACATATATATATATGTGCACATAAATATATATATATATGTATACATATTTACATATATATATATTCATATTATATATATATACATCCATTATACATATATATATGTATATATATATATGTATATATATATGTATATATATATATATATGTGCGTATGTATATATGTTTTTTGTTTGTTATATTAAACGTGCTCTTTGTTTTGTTTTTAAAGGGGAGCAACTAATCCATACTCGCACGTGCAGGTACCAGGCCTTTGCATTACGAGACTCATTCAGCCTTTGGGCAGGTAAGGTTCACCCAAGATTCTCAAGCTCCAGTGCTTAGTTCTAGGGATTTTTAGAGTAAAAACATTGAACTTGGTCGGTTCTTGAACTATACCCACGTGGTGGTAAGATTGACCAATAACTAACCAACATTGATGGATATTTTAACAAGCATTTAATACTGCATATTAACGGTTAGAGAGGGTCAATATTGAACGAGTTTCGACCTTAAAATCACCCACCAGGCCAGCACTTGCGCGCTATTGTTTTCGGCTTAAACTGTGCCAGGGTGTTGCCTTGAAACTGCCCAGATGGAAATGTTGGTTTTGAAAATCAAAGCCTGGAAGATCTGGAACAAAAATCAGGACCGTGTCAATACGCATTGTTTTCTCCCTTGAGATTTGAGATGCTTCAATATCTTCATTTGAAAGAACTGGCAGGAATGGAACTTGACACTGGTTTGTAGTTGGTTGGGGGGTGTTTATGCGTTGTTCTTTAAGTTGCCTTATCTTGGGATGATCCAGCTTGTGTCTCATTTTGGGGGATAGACTGGCAACAGCAAGCTGTTCACAGCTGATGTCCTAGAGCCAGGTTGACAGTGCCCTCCAGTTAATCAGGTCCAGCAGGTGTCCTAAGTGATCGGGGTACCCCAAATCATCCAAGTTTAGACAATTTTAGTATTGAAACCTATGGTTTTGAGGATCCACCATTTTAAGAAACCCTCATTTCTGCCCATTATTCAATCATTATTCCCATCCTGGATGCCAGTAGACTCCGTGGATAAAGGACTTGGGGGATGACAATCGGAGACCCCCCCTGGCACCATGGTATTAAATACATTTTAAGGATTTTTAAGGGTCGAGCCTATTTCTGGATGCTTTGGGTCATCACCATTGGGCCCCAGCTGTTTTGAGACAACTCCATGTCGCCACAGACGCCGCTGAGTTGTGACGCAAGCCTTGTGGGAGCGACAAAGATGGGGCGGGGGTTGGGAGCTAAATTCCGGTGGACTGAAACCCAGCCTGAACCATTTGGATTGCCGGGAAGCACTTTCCGGTGTCAGAAAGTGCCGTTTTTACGCCAAAGTGGAAGTAGAAATGCAACATGCAAGTTGGGAAGCGACCTGACCCATTGCACAGTGTCCAAACAACACTCGGGTAAACAGTAGACATTTATAATCATTTATACACACTGGCAGGCGCACATGTGATTGCACTTTGCTGTGATTGTGTAGGACCGTAGCAGTACCATTTCACAATGTTCGGTTCCCAGCATTGGTTTATATATTTTATCTAATGCATAATAGTTTATCATAGTTTAATAAATGGGAAATCTGCAGGAGACCCTTGTGTTTAATGGTCGGTTCTGTTGGGTGTTTTTGCCACCTAAATGACCGGGTGTCGAAGATGACACTGCGTGCTTGGTCGTCTTGGCTCCAGAGTTATCTCGGTCAGTGCCATGTGGAAGGCATAGGCCTGCAACGCCGTGAGTGTCGGGGTTGAATGTGCACTGGTTTGAATGTTCACAGTCACCATTTTCTATTGCCCTTGTTGGATGATTAGATGAGGAAATGATAGTGTAGTCATTGCATTGTAATCCATGACGGGCCCGAGCCTATAAATAGGGCTAGGCAAACCCCCGGACATGAGTTACAACTTTTTTTTTGGTAGTTATTTGGGATCGGAGGGCCATCATTGTAGGTATTTGGATTCTTCGCCCTCACTGGTTTCGTCCCAAATCTTGTGGTGGTCCCTGTTGCTGCTGTTGTTGCTGCTGTTGTTGTTGTGATGGTGGTGGTGATGGTGGTGGTGGTGTTGTTGTTGGTGGTGGTGGTGGTTGTGGTTGTCGCAGTTGTGCTTGTGGTTGTCGTAGTTGTGGTTGTCGTAGTTGTGGTTCTCCTAGTTGTGGTTCTCGTAGTTGTGGTTCTCATAGTTGTGGTTCTCATAGTTGTGGTTCTCGTAGTTGTGGTTCTCGTGGTTGTGGTTGTTGTGGTTGTTGTTGATTGATGTTGGTTGATGATGATTTATGGTGGTTGATGATGGTTGATGATCGTTGATACCGGCAGTACTTGATGTTTGTTTGTGTGTGTGTCGAATAGGCATGTGTACTCGACTGTATTCCCTTGAGCTTTTGATTGCAAGCTGCCATGTAGACTTTGACTTATATATATATATATATGTGGCATGCTATATTTTGGGGCCTGGAACCCTGAATGTGCTTGCGGGAAAGCATATTTCCCAAAATCCCAAAAGGTTTTTTGTCCTGATATAATATTATGGATCCTGAGGCTACCTTGATTTATAATATTTATGAATTATAATTGGACCAAATCTTAAGATAACTATATACTTTAGTTTCAGACCAATTTTGTTTGGGTGATCAATTTTTTTTAGGTTTTAATGTTAGGTTTCATCTTTCTGTTTTTCCGACATGAAATGATCAATCTAACCTTTATATACATTTATATATCTTATCCCCTGCGCCAGTATGACTTCAATGGGCCATCCGTTCTACCCTGCGACGCCTGTAGGCGGAGCAGCAGCTGCTTACCAATGGCTTTCGAGGTGATTCTCAGGGTTGCGAAAAAAATCCCCGAGGGTACATGTTCCATGGAGCAAATAACAATTAGGATTAATTATGCGGTATGCTATGGTATGTTTATATATATATATATACTGTATATGATGTGGTTCTTGCCTGCTATTGCCTGCATGCAGACAGAGAAGGGTACTAGTCGGTCTCATCACACATCTGGCAATCTACAGATATCAACAATCAGAAGTCAGATATTGACATATGGAAATGATGTGATGAAAAGCGCGGCCGGTATCTTCTTGGACTTGGGAATTTGATCTGGGACACTTTCTAGCATGTATGTATCGTTTTGAACTGACATTTTGAATTCCCAAATATCTTGTTTTACTGTTTTGACGCACCAGCATGCTTTGTGACTGTGCCCGCAGCCGTCCACCAAGGGAGGCTCAATATCCAATAAGTCGATCTGCTCCGGGGCAGCAATGATGGCAAATTGGGGGAATTGCCGCATTTGCTCGGAAAATCCCTTCACTGTGCTGTTCGGTTCCTTGCTTGCAGAGTACTATGCGTACTGTTCGCGCCACAAAAAAACACCCATAGCCACCCGCAGTGGCAGCAGCAGAGCCAAGGTTGGAAGCAACCAGAGAAGAAGTGCGCAGCAACAGCCACTTGGAGTTCACCAATGCCTGGGCACAGACTTGATAATCCAATCAAACTTGCACCCTGGGTTGAACACGGGATATGCAATGATATGCATATGGCTCACCTGTCATCATAACACCTCCAAACAACTCCAAAAAACAGTGGCGCCAGCCTTTTGGTCCCATTTGGGGCTGATAAAATCAGGAGAGAAAATGCAAGCCCTCGAAGCGCAACGAGAAGGATTTCAAACCCCGCAGTGAAGAGGAAGTCAAGGACCCCAGTTGGTGGGTCCCCACAGCCACGATATTCATTGGTGCGCACAATTCAATATCATACAGTGAATATCATGCAATATATTCAATAAGGATCATCAATCATGCGCACGAATGTGATCATATAAATATATGTGTATATATATATATATATGAGCCACCGCAAAAACCTCGGCAATACTAAATATGTATTGGACGGACATTGGTTTATGGAAATTAATGGGCATTTTTAAAAACACACGGTAAGCGATGGGACCTTCCCAAATTAGCGATACCCCTTTTCAAGGTTATGTCATTGTATTTCTCTATAGTATCCACATTAGCGATACCCAATGATTTCTGTGAATTATAATATATATATATAATTATATATAAATGTAGCAGTTTCCTGCAAGCGATACCCCCCAAGTTTACCATATATCATATATCATTATTGTACAAACGTGTGGTAAGCGATGGGACCTTCCCAAATTTGTGGATGTCCTTTCCGTGAACCTAGGGTTTTCGAGATTGCTTATATATATATATATACATATATATATATGCGTGTTTTGTTCATATTTATTTGAATATTATATATATAATATGTGTGTGTATGTACGCACAAGTAAAAATAAGATACCATGTGAATTATGGTAACAATTGATTCACCAGGAGGTCTTTTTGGCAACGCAGGAGGCTGTGGCCAAATGGAGTGAGTACGTCCACGCCCGGGCCCGGGACTTCTTCGCGGGAACCCAGCAGCTCGAAGAGGCCTCGGATGTTTCCACCGGTGGAAGATGTATATAGTGTAAATCGTCTAAGCAGTAGCAAGATTCCAGTGCTAACGTTAGAAAACTGTAGATATTTCTGGTAAATATGCCAATTTCTAGATATTTCTAGGTTAGATATTCTAGTTATTTCTAGTCAGTTCTGGGAAATCAATGGAAGGATGGACCAAACACTCTGGGTGTTGCTAAGATTGCCGTGGTAGGAGATCAACAACCCACCAAGGTTAGGGTGGAAATACAACCCTGCCGGGGGTGGAAAGACATCGAGCTAACTGAGGTTATGTTGTTCAAACAAGAACAATAAGAACAACAAAAAGTGATCACAATTGATGACCATGTTTATTGTTGGTATGCTCGCTTTCTTTCTTGTACCGTCCCTTAAACGAATATTGTCAGATTCAATTGTCCTCCAACGGCGGACACGGTCTGCGGCAGTGGTTTACATCCGAATTGGTAGATGTACCATTTGGCCATTTTCCAATCTGTAGATTATATACACCATACAAATAGGGATTTCCAGAAATGGGTATCCCAAAATGGATGGTTTAAAATGGAAATATTAAAATGAATGATTTGGGGGTACATCCATTTCAGGAAACCTCCATTATTATATATATATATATTAATTTGCTCATCTTTACGTCCCACATTTTGTGATTTTACCACCTTTGACTGCCATGAAGGGCGTCGCCGGCCGCTGCCATTCTGACAGCATTGCAGCTCAAGTTCCCAATGTAATCATGACATGAATACAGCATTTGCTCTCTCTCTCTCTCTATATATATATGTATATGTATGATCTTGTCTGAAGGCGATGGATTATATATAAGAGTATTTACATCCAAACACGCACACACACACATGCTGGCATATATATATATATGTATGTAAGTGTATTGCAACATATATATATATATATGTATATACACATATGATTAGATATAAATATATTTTTGAACGTATACGTATACAAGTATATATACCCATTGCATTCATACATGTATAATTCCAGATTGGAGTTCCAATATTTCAATTATATATGCATTGTCTTCACATATATATATATATAATGTATATTTACGAACACTACACATAAAATTATATATATATATATATCTTGTCATTGTGTTCCCATGTGTTGCCCCTCCAGAGCTCCTGGTTTTCCAGGTCCTGGCACAGTTGGCCAAGGGCACGGACAAAGACTGCGATCCGGTGGCAGGAAGTGAAACGCAATGTGTGCAGCCTGGCGACGATGTCACAGTCCTTGGATCCCACGGATTAACGGTGATAGATTGGTGGGTGATATACAGCAGCTCTCTAAAACATAGAAGAGTAAAGTCTACTGAAAAAATGGTAAATTGATGTAAATTGCTATACTGTATACATCTGTATACTGTATACTAAATGTGCATATTATATATATATATATACATATACATATACATACATATGTATGTATGTATGAAATTCAAATAATTTTGGGAAACGTTAGTAGTCATAGAGTCATTGAAAATAGTTTCAAAAGTCTATCGAATTGCAATTTGATCAAGATGCAGTGAGTCAGTCCATTGGGAGTAGAGGGATGGTAATGGGTATTTTAATGAGAAAACCAACAATCGATGGAGCAAACATCAAAATAAACACGCACAGAAAACCTGAAACCCCATCATGGATTTGTTGTTCTGGACGGGTGGGTCCACTTTTCGTAACCAAGTCATCGTCCTGGAGCGCTCCAACATGTCAATTCCGGGTTGCAAAATTGGCGATTTCTTGTGGGAAACAACGTTTGTCTTCTTCGAACAAATCTCTGATAGTTCGATTTGGCGACAAAAAATTGCCATATATATCCATAGAGATGATGTTCCACTTCATAACACAGCATCAAATGGTATAAAATGGTCGCAAAAAAACATGGAGGATTTTCCAACTTTCATGGCGCTGGGTGGCTCAGCTGCCGCCGTGGCGCAGGTATTGGTATGGCGATGTGACCAAAGACGAATGTCAAGCAGCGATTCGAATGGTGAAGCCGGGAGAGATGCAGGCCGTTGGGGCCAGAAGAGCCAGAAATGCAGTGTTTAACCATCAACAACTTGGGTTTATAGGGAACATTGGGGGATAACCATAGGTATTATTGGGAGATAACCATCCAAAAAAAAAATTGGAGATTATTCTTATTGTCATTATCATTATATTATTAGCATTATATTATTGTTATTGTTATTATTATCATTATATGTTTATTTTTACTATTATTATTGTATATACATATTGTATACATAACCAACCATTTAAGCAACCAATCAATCATAGACACTGAACATGGCCCTTGTTTGAATTACCAGAGGATGGGAAATGCAAAACGCCCTTTGACCAGGAACATCTAAAGAATTGATGCATTGTCCATCGACAGAATAGATTGCCAGACGGTAGCAGATTGGCAGGGGTAGAGACTACCTAAACGGATTTCTAAGTAAGAAATTGGCATTGCAAGGTTGACCATTCCATATACGCCCCTGAACTTTAGGACTAAGAATACTAAAATCTAAATAAGACTAATAGACTATAGAAGATGGACAGCAAAGAAAGTGTCCTGGTCCTTTCTTTCACTGTTCGATATGGCACATATGCTGTCAAAAATAGACTACAGGAACTCGAATCCAGAAATTCATAGAAATTCCACAATGTTCCTGTTGGATGTGGCAGGAGTATGGCCAGAATATAGACTGCAATTTTCTCGGCGAAATTATGTTGTTCCTGGGTCACCCTGATGTATGGTGAAGCTACTCTGGTTGTCGGGTTGTCGGACTGAATTTCAAACCCCAGAATCCATGGGAGGAGTCTGTCACCTACGTGAATCGCGTGCTGGCCTTCATGTTTGCCACCGACGAATCCTTCGAAAAGCTCATGGCCCTTCCCAAGGCAACGAGAAACAAATAGGAGATGATCCAGATAGCTACCGCATTTTTTTCAACCACGGATTCGTAACCCCCCTGGACTGTTTAATTGAGGTTGGGGGGTACCATATGTAGTACTTTTTAGTAATAGTAGCAGATTATCGCAGTTTTGGCGGAACTCTCCCAATTTATATCAGGATTGATTAATCCAGGATTGACATTACCTGTAGACTTATTGCATGTCTATTATGTATTCAAGATCGTGTTGTGAGAGCAGATGCTTTGGTAGATTTGATTAAATATGTGTATTGGATATTGTATTGAGACGTTTGGGTAGTTGATGTAAATCTATTTATGACTAGTTATTTTATGTATTTATGGGCCATTTTTTTAGGGGGGTGAACAAACAATTATCTCGCAACAATACCTATGGTTATCCTATGGTTATCCCCCAATGTTCCCTATAAACCCAAGTTGTTGATGGTTAAACACTGCTGAGGAGCCTTTCAGGATGAACTGTGGGGATCAGCTGTGTGTAACTTGGTGACGTACGTGGATCGGTACCAATGACTTGGGTACCCCGTGGTGGGTCAACAGCGAAATGCTAGCTTTCGTGATATCAATGGATTGGTTTTGTTGGGAAAATCTTAACCGGAAACCATAGATGTTCCTATTTAAAAAATGGGGCTGTCCTGTCATTTTTCCCTTAAACCAATCCATTGATCGATAGGAACATGTACGGAAAAGGAGGGAAGACACCTATGGACCCATGGATGTTACAGTTCCAGGTTGGAAAAAAAAAGATGCACTGGACAGGACAACTGCCCGGTGAAAATGTTCAAGGACCTTTGGTAGCGCCATTTCAAATTTGTCCCACAGTTCATCGAGTTTTGCTTCATTCATGGAATTTGCCTGATTGCACGATAGCACTGCAATATACATACAGTAGTGCTATAACCGCTAGCATTTTCTGAAACTGCTTGTGCTTTACTTTATTTGAGACAAGAACGTTTACACATGTAGCATCATGTAGCCAGGTACCTCCAACATGAACGGGTTGAAAGAGGGGGATCGAATTGACCAAAGAAGGAGATGCCGGTAACACCCTGAAATCTCATAGTTGGTCATTGTTGTCTCCTACTTGACTTGGGGTGCAATTGAGGTTACAATGGGATCAAATTGGTATAGACATGTTTTATGAACCTCATAAGTTGGGAATAGTTGGGATATATATATATAATATGTAATATATATATATATGCACAATCACACGCACACACACACATATATATATATATATATATACATACGCACACTTATAATTAGAGCATCCTTTGGCCAAGGTTCACTTGGCCCACATTTCTTTGGCGACTTGCTGAGTCACGCCATGCCTTTCTTCGCGATGCCTCGCCACAGAGCGAGGGGAAGCAGAGCGCTGTGCAATTCATTGGCACGGCGGGGAACGACTGTTGTGAGACCAATGTTCATGGTAAATCCACTATTAAATTTACGGTAAACTCTAAACTCCCGAACTGTTCTGTGAACTATTGTTCATCTTTTCCATGTTGTTTACGGTCAATGCTTGTTAATCATTCTAATCCAATGAATCAGTCGATCAATCACTGGGCGCTTTCTTCATCTTTCTTCTAGATTCCAAGTTCTATTCTCACCTATCTTGTGCATCATCCCCACTCGGGAAAAAATGCATTCCACATCATTCCACATCAATCAACATTTTCAGAATGGGATGAACATGGATGAAACCACAGGAACCAATCATACATGTGCTTCTGTGTCGACAGTGATGTGTTGCACTCTTTCCCAACTGACACCCCCAACCGGCCACATTGCAGTACTAGACTAGATGCGAAGGATCGAGCATGCGACCATCGCAGTTCAGATCTCGAGAAAAGCCGCAGGTTGCAACCCTTTGTCTACAGGGGAACGATGTGTTGTAGCAGATCCTGTTGTACTGGTCTTTAGACCCTGTAGATACATTTACACTACCATAAACCATAGTTGATCTAGTAGATTAAAACATGCACACGTATGCTTGTATATAGCTTCAGAGCTAGGTATGGACATTCGAGTGGACATGGAGATTCGCTGTTGACCTAGTTAAGCCGCCAACTTTTAAAAGATGATTTGGGGCATCACGGCATCACTTTGTAGGGCGTTTCTAGCAAATCCATACAGGTTACAAGGCCGAAGCTCTTGGAATTCCTTGAAGCTTCTTGTGGATTCAGTGGATGTGTTGATGCTGGAGCAGGAGCCGTTGCCAATGCAACGTGTGTCCCTCAGACGGGAGTAGCCAGCTGTCAACCAAGTCGAGCCTTTTCTTCTCATCTGCATCCTGACAACAGAGGAGGTTGGTGGCTTTAATTTTCCATTGTTGCTTTTCCAACCGTTTGGAATGATGGTCCCAGAGTATAATCACCTCACATAATGTCAATTAGGACACACCCCCAATTCCAGTAAACAGCCTAGTTTTTTTTTAATGCAGGGTTGACATTACACACGGTGGGGCCCTCTAGGTATAGGTTGGTTTGTAGCTCCATATATGTATATATAATATAGTTCTTTATAACATATATATATATATGATATATGATATATATATATATTTATTTAAAAAAAATGATATTCACATATATCCACCCTACACCCTATAGTTCTTGTAGTTCAACACCAGCTTTGGCATGAATCAGCTAGTAGATCCCACAGAATCCCAATGGTTTCGATTGGCGCCCAGGTAGCATCGGCTCGCGAAGCGGCATGCCATTGCCTGGTGGCCCAGAGCTAACTTAAATGGGTTACTAACTATTAACCAACTTGTTGGGCCATGTCTCAATGATTATCCATTTACATATGTTTACATCCAGTAGTTTACTAACCCTATGGCCCATCTAGTTGAACAGGAGCTGTCAAATACATGGGGATTTATATAGGATTTATAAGGGTTGAGTTTTCCTCTGGGAAAATCAGCAACAAATGGGGATGTTCCAGCTAGCCACCTGGGTTTGTCCAAGCCTTGGATATAAGAACAACCGTTTCACGGGATGCAATGTGGATATAGTATGATATACCCTCCGGTAGACTAACATAGCTATGGAAAATCACAATCTTTAATAGGTAAATCAACTATAAATGGGCAATGTTGAATAGCTATGTTAAATTACCAGAGGGTAGTGGGATGTAACCGCAACATGATGTCGGTGTTCAAAAGAATGGATTTATGTACCCCATCATTTTGACAATTTGAACGCGTCGATGATTTCCTGTCCCAGTCGGGTTCGGATCTCTTTTCTGGTCACAATCTCTCGACAAGCTGCTGACACATGGGGCCAGTTTTTCTTGGCGGGTTCACCATGGTTTTTTTGGATTACGGCCAGCCCTAGCTTGACAAACAGTGCTTGACTTGTCAGAGGGGAATTTTGGAGCAAATCGCCATTTGAACTTGTACCCAGGTACCCTCAGGTACCCACTTGATGCCGCAGTCCAAAAATCAGCCCCTTCCCGTTTGAGACCCCCCCTAAGCCTTGATTTGGTAGTGGGTCGGCTGACTTTTGGCTCCCATTTGGGTTGATTTATTGTTCAGTAGATCGGATTCTATGCATATTCTACATGCTCATGTTTTCTTTGACCTGACATTTTCTCTTTTTTAGAACGAAAAATTTGCGGAAACCAAAATGTGAGCAAAGTCCCAAACGCGAAATACTATCCCTTACAGTCTGGACGTGCGGTACATCTTGGAAAATCTTGGAAGCGAAAACATGCAATCCCTACGTTTGAGTCGCCGTGGCCTCCTTATCCCTGGGGTACCCCAAAGTGGAAGGAACTTTTGAGGAATAAACTGAATAAACTGGTGAAATCGCCTTCGCAGCTGAGCAATATTTTCCTGGAAGCTGAGAAGACTCTGACTGAGACCACCAAGGCGTACCCTAAGATGGCCCCACGGCTGGAGCTTGCTGAGAGCTGCAAGGTGCGATGCTGGTGCTTCACCGGATGGTTAGCGCCATGAAGACCTTCAGTTCTAGGGGGGTTTTCCATATTTTCCCAGCTGGCCATGGTTGATTACCGGAATATGACCGGATAATAAGTGGGGTACAACCATGTACAACCTCAGTTGAGAACATCACTTAAGTCCACATAAATTTCCATGAGAGTTCTCCCTTTCTCCAGGTCTCCAGGTGCGCTTCCGGAAGCTAACCATGGAGCAAGAAACATTGGAGATGTTGCAGGAAATAACTTGTGGATTTGATGTTTTGAGTGGGCAGAAGTAGAGTTCATCACCGATGATTTATTGAAAGGTTTGTCTCACAATGAAGGATTTACACCACTTCATTACAGTATTAATATGTATTAATGTAATGCAGAAAATGTGAACCAACCAAGGTATAGAATAGAGCCCATGAATGTCCATGATATGTTGAGACAACCGCATGTAAATGATAGTGACCCCAGGATTTCATGGTGAAGTGCACGGTTCTGTCCCAAGGTTTCTCTCTCTCTCTCTCTGAACATGTACATAATATCTAGTATTTACAGGTATGTTTCATATTTATACATATAGAATACATAGATTTTATATGGATTGAATGGTTGCTTGTTGGTTGATCACTTTACTGCCAATCATAGGGGGCTTGTTTAATAATGCCTTGGGTCGGGGGGTCGCATGTACACGCGAAACCATGGTCGCATGTACACGCGGACGACTTGTGGGAGATAGTCGCATGTACACGCGGGCAAGTTCACAACTACACGCGAATAGGAGATGTGCATTTTTTGCTTGTAAAATACAATGAACATCGAAACTTGTGGTATATGTGCTGTTGCTATCTGCAGCCATGCGCGGGAGTTGGTTTAAGCAGGCTATCTGTGCGGCCATGGTCGCAACTACACGCGAATAGGAAACGTCTTAAATTTTCGTTATTTATCTATCTATCTATCTGTCTATCTATCTATCTATCTAGCTAGCTAGCTATCTATCTATCTATCTACCTACCTACCTACCTATCTATCTATCTATCTATTTATCTATCTATCTATCTATCTACCTACTATCTATCTATCTATCTATCTATCTATCTATCTATTTATCTATCTATCTATCTATCTATCTATCTAGGGGGGTAAGTTTAAATAAAGAAGTAGAATGGAGACAATAGTTTAGTGGAACGCAGGGGGGGAAGTTTAAATAAAGAAGTAAAATGGAGACAATAGTTTAGTGGAACGCAGGGGGGAGGAGAGGAAGTTTAAATAAAGAAGTAGAATGGAGACAATGGTTTAGTGGATCGCAGGGGGGGAAAGTTTAAATAAAGAAGTAAAATGGAGACAATAGTTTAGTGGAACGCAGGGGGGGGAAGTTTAAATAAAGAAGTAGAATGGAGACAATAGTTCAGTGGAACGCAGGGGGGAGTAAGTTTAAATAATGAAGTAGAATGGAGACAATAGTTCAGTGGAACGCAGGGGGGGGAAGTTTAAATAAAGAAGTAAAATGGAGACAATAGTTTAGTGGAACGCAGGGGAGGGGGAAGTTTAAATAAAGAAGTAGAATGGAGACAATAGTTCAGTGGAACGCAGGGGGGGGGAAGTTTAAATAAAGAAGTAAAATGGAGACAATAGTTTAATGGAAGGGGGGGGAAGCCAAAAGGAACGCAGGGGGGGAAGTTTAAATAAAGAAGTAAAATGGAGACAATAGTTTAGTGGCACACAGGGGGGGGAAGTTTAAATAAAGAAGTAAAATGGAGACAATAGCTCAGTGGAACGCAGGGATGAGTAGTGCCTGTGTCTGCTGAGCAGCCAGAAAGATGATAAGGTTGCCGTGCCTGTGCGTGCACAGAAACATGAACTTTATCACTCCACCCTACCCCATATCCAGAGTAGTGGTGTGTACATGTGACCGTGGCATCGCTGGTGTGTACATGTGACCGTCGTTTTGCGTGCGCAGATGACCGCACCTGTGTGTACATGTGACTGTGGGATCGCTGGTGTGCACATGTGACCGTCGTTTTGCGTGCGCAGGTGACCGTAAGGCTCGAAAAAGGTCTCTGTGTGTACATGTGACCTGGATTTGCGTGCGCGGATGACCCCTTGACCTATTGGGTGACCCACATTAACCCTATTTGATTCCATTACCCATGTGTTTGATGAGGAAATCCACGCCATTGCTGTGGATGATCACCGTAACTTCGTCAAGCTGGTAGTAGCTGGTGTATCACTGTGCATTCCAGTACGATCCAGTTTGGTCAGGCGACATACATACACAATCATACACTCATATAATATAATAGTTTTTTTTTTTTAAATGTGTCTGTTATAATATTTATAGTTATACTTACTCGTATGTACTACAATTGTACACACACACACACACATATATATATATAGAGATATAAATGCGGCATATATGTTTGAATTCCCCCAGTGGCTGTCCCCGAATGTCTTGACGTTTCCTCGCTAGGTTTTCGGAGCCTTTGGCACTCCGGCACCAGGTGAGCCGCAACATCACGTGTCCAGAAGAAACGGAAGTTGGAACGATGGTTGTGTAATTCATGTTGTAAAACTATCTTATATTATAACTAGATTACTGTAGAACATATATTATAATCTATAGGTAGTATAACTATATCACTATCCCTTAGATTCAGAAAGTTTTGAACAGGTTAGGTGTTTCACGATTTTTCGATGGGATTTGTATCCTTTCTATCTATTCGGGGATCTGGATTTTATCCGTATGCCTTGCACAAAAGAGAGCCAAGGGCCGCGGCTAAGGAGCTTCGAATTGAGTTTTCCCACCGCATGACAGTCACATTATTGTCGCATTTGTTGGTGGCTGGTTGGGTAGGTAGCATTTTATGCTTTTCCATCCTAGCATCGTGGATCCAAACTGGCGACACATGCTTGTTTCCCCTTGTCTTTGTGCTGATAGACACCCTCCCAGAGAACATGGTTGAGCAATGGATCTATTCCTTTCGACATCCCGTTTAGTGCGGTTACTGTAATTCTTCAGGAGCCTCAAGTACATCCATATACATCCATATTTTCTTGGTTGACCTCCCACTTCCCCATCCAGATCTATGAAATTTTATGAATGTTACCCTCTGGTAATTTAACGTAGCTATTGAAAATGACCATTAATAGTGGATTTTCCCATTAAAAATGGTGATTTTCAATAGCTACGTTAAATTACCAGAGGGTAGTTAGCCCAATTGTCCAATTGTTCCTGTGATAAATCCTGGAGTCCCGGGCGCCCATCATGCCCATCCACCCCAAGGAGGCAAGAAGAGGCGCACCAGACCGGAGCCGAAATCGGTCAGTGATTTAAGCCTTGTTTTCTCTTGGAAAACGCAGAGTTTTCCATCGTTTTCCTGCGTTTTGGTAAACAGAAAAGGATTTTTATGGCACTTTTTGAAAGGACAGCTAGGATCACTAGACCTTTTAATCCGGGTACCTCAAAGAATCTGAAAAATGCGCAACCGCGTTGACTTTCCCCCGGACCTCAACGAGCTGCTCCGTTGTGGTTCCCGGAGCTGGTTTTTGAATGCTTTTGATCTTTTGTGATACTTCATAAAATGAACATTTATCATGTGGAAAATCAGCAAACTGGATGCAAATCTAGCATAGTTTCATGACATGAGTAGCCTGTATTGATCTAGTATGATCTAGATTGATCTAGTCTGAACAGAAGTACCCTGTATCTAAATACGTTGTATCATGCTGTATCTAAGAATATGCAGTTCATGCCATGCCATGCCATGCATTGCAATTTTACGCGGCGCTGCAGGTGCAGTGCCTTCGACTTGTTTTGCTTGTTTGTCAGGAGCCAAGGGGGTTTTGTTTGGATCCCTGGGGTTAGCCGGTGATAAGTAAAGTGGTACAGCTTCGGATGGCCCAGTGATCCACCTGGCGATGTCCAGGTGGTGACTGGGATGAGAAAATCTCTGGGATTCGGTACAGCCTTGTATTAATAAAAGGAATGCAACCAAAATCATGGCGCCAAATTGGCCTCGCAAGCTGTTTTGAGGTGGGCCTCGGGAGTTCTAGCCACACGTTTGGGAGCCGAGTTTTTTCTTGGAGATTGTTCAAATATGAGCACAGGATAGTATAAGTATATGTTAGCTATATGTTAGCTATATGTTAGCTATATGTTAGTTCTTAGCAACACTCTTCGGAGATATTTGGGGGAGCTTCATGTTTGCAACTTGCCTATAGGATTGCACAGTTCATTACCATTCACCTGTTTTGCTTCATTTTCACTTTTGGGAAAATGATTTAACGCGATGAAAGCCAACTCACTATGTCTTTTCGGGTTAAAACCACCAAGCTGCTCCTGATTAATTGTGGGAGGGTGGGCCACCCAAAAAAGTCATACTTTGCTGCTAAGGGAAGTTGCCCCCCTAAATGCGACACAAATAACTATATATACCATTGTAATCACCTGTTCCTTGCTTCCTAGCACAGCTAGGGCAGGGTGACCTGACAGCGATGGAGAGCGAGAGAATGCTACTAAATTGAAGAAAGAAATTACCCTCTGGTAAACTAACATAGCTATGGAAAATCACCATTGTTAATGGGAAAATCCACTATAAATGGCCATTTTCAATAGCTATGTTAATTTACCAGAGGGTAAGCAGCCCAGGGGTTTATGAATCCGGGGTTGACATTACTATTAACCACTATTAACCAGTATTAACCACTATTAACCTCTATTAACCACTATTAGTTGACATTACTTTGATGGTTCCACATCATTTTCCAAACTTTTTTTGAAGATGTCCTGAGGTGCGTGCCGTGCGCAAAGACGCCAGCTTCGTTCCTTGACGGTGATGGTCAAGATCAAGCATGGTGCTGTTTCAAGTGCTTGGGGCAACTAAAGATTCATAGTTCGGTGTCATCAAACATAGCGTGCCGGAAAATCCCCCATTTATTAGAAGATGTTCCATGATTTGTCCAATATAAAATCCTTTTTATATCCATTTCTTAGATGATTTTCCCATATAAAACATCCATTTAGCGCGGGGAGTTCCCAGCTCGCCACCTTTGATAACACCGGAGGGCATCTCGATACAGCCTCGCCAGGCACTGCGATGTTTGTCCGCCACTGAGACTGTCGGATGAATGGCTGTGGACCTGAACATCAGGGGATTACCATCCCCAAAATGGCTGTTTTGATAGGGAAAAATGATGATAAACCATGTAGGAATTGGGGAGATACATTTTCTGACAAATTTATGTCCTTCTTCTGCGGACTTTCGACACCATGCTGTTGATTTTCAGGAAATTATCCGAACCAATCGTGTGGAGTCTCTTTATGTGTCGCAAACCTGCAGAAATTACCCTTTCAACATAGCCATGGAAATTTACCCATGTGCAGATGATTTCCCAACCATTGCCATTTTCCGTGGCTATCTTAGATTCCCAGAGGCTAATTCCCTTAACGGTTGCACCTGTGATTTTCGATTGCTCCAGGCCGTTGCTTCTCCAGTCATGGACAGGTGCCCATGCTTCATGACGGTTAGATTGATATTATATCATTATAATGTGTTCTTTCGAAGAGCATCCTTGGTAATGTCCTTTCATTAACAGTCATTAACAATGTAAACATGTAATGTGATATGTTTTTGTCAAATGATGTCAAATGTATATATACCAATTCCATTATTTTCATGTATAATTCATTACATGTCTACATTGCTACAAAGCTGTTTTCACTATAGAATGTTGTGTCACGTGCAGGCGGCGCTCCGCGCCGATTTTGAGCCCCAGGAGAAAGGTGGTGCCGGGGGTATTGGCTTAGTGGAACCACAAAAGGCAGGTTATTTTTGGTCAATGTATGTATATCAGTTGCTTGATGCAGTTGGTAACTGGAATGAAACAAAACATAATATTATATACTATTATATAAAAATTAATTAATAATAATGATAATAATAATTATTATATATATATATATTAACTGTCCTAACCGAACCCTGCTACCCTACTTGGGTCGACTGACCTACTTACAATTCCTGCGATGAACGACCAAGTATATTTGGGGTATATATCCCAAAATGGACGTATACATTTTGCGCCTTCGCCACGGATGTAACCAGCAACAAAGCTTTGCCCTACCTGAAGCATCACTTTATACTCCTTCTAACTTTTTTGGGGTCTTACATTGAATTGGATGATGCTGTACAATTTTCACAAGGATAAACATGTGGCAGGTGTGTCAAAACCTTGGTACCCTAACCCCAAGTCATAGCTGGGATTTATGGATGTTCATCCCCCCTAAAAATGCTATGTACCCTCTGGTAATTTCTTACATAGCTATCGAAAATGGCCCAGTCGAAATAGTGGATTTACCCATCAAAAATGGTGGATCTTTCCATAGTTTTTTGTTAGTTTACCAGAGGGTATAGGTCTTGACCCCATAGCCCATGTCATGATCCGATTTTCCAGAAATCCCCTCCACCAGGCGGCCACTGCAGGCCGCTGTGGCGTTGCGGCGCCATGATCAACCATTGCCCAGATGCTCCATGGTGCTGGAATATTTACCTACAAAACTGGGCCATTTTTGTAGGGTAAATGTATAGGTAAATGTAGGTAAATATTCCAGCACCATGGAGCATCTGGGTTGGGAATTTAATGGGAACTAGCATGAATTAGCATGAATTAGCTATGTCACTGAACATGGCTATGGAAGCCATGGCCCATTAGTTCGATGATAGAAATGATGATTTACCTATTGATACAACGGTGAAGTTCCAGTTCGCTACGTTAAATGACCAGACGGTAACCGTAGTTGAAAAGACATGTTGAACATCTTTGAAACCCACAAACATGACAATCATGCAAAGACACGATTTGCTAATGTTACAACTTATTGTTGGATGGAGTATGATGGGGCCTACTTTTGATTTGAAATAGCTGGTGTTGCTTTGTGAAGATAGTCTACGAGGCATCCAAGTCGCCTGGTGCTACCAGCTGCCAATCTATGCCACAGCCGGTTCCACATTTTCGTAAAACCCAGTCCGTAATGGAAGTGGGACACGGCGCCCCACCCAGGTGGAACACGGAACACCCCAAGTGTGCACGAGATGAACTCTACAATTCTGTTAACATGTGCATTGACATGTGCTTTGGTTGTCAGCTTGAATTTGCTGGTTAGCTGATTATTCAGTTGGTATGACATCCACGTACATCCACTATTAAACAATATTAAAAGAGATATAGCACAGTGGCTCGTGGCAGGCTCAGCGCGGCCCTACAGAGATGTAGTAGAGACGCCCCAGCTGGGTGTCGTTGGTGTCTCCGTTTAGGTCTCCCAAAGAGGCTTCACCAAATCAATTTAGAAAAACAACAAATTGGGAGATCGAGATAATTATATGTAATCAATGATTGCATATGCAATTGTCGCTGATATCAATAAGACTCATATAGATTCATGGACCTCAAACGTGCCACCGGACGTTGCTACTGGTCAGATAACTGGTTTGGGTCGATGGCTCCCATCGTCGCTTGTCCCAGGATTTGCCGATCCAGCAGATCTTACCTTCGGTGCTGGAGCATTGCAAGTCCACGTCGGCAGATTTGGTCTTGCAGGTGGAGTCCGACGTGGTCCGGAGGATTGACCAAAAGTGGACCATGCGACCTGAAGTCATGGACTCTATGGTTGCAAAGTAGGCCTCTATCGGGTCCGGTTGTGGTTACAACATGTTACAACTATTTATTGTTTTGAAAACACCGCGCAAAAAGGGATGATTGCTTGAGATTTTCAGCCCATATTTTTGGCATAAGTTAAACCCACCAATGAGAGATAACCAGAGGTCTACTACTCTGAGGTCATCTCACATAGCCTGCACGGCCGTTGGCGCTGGGTAGTTTTTCAACTAGCCACGGGACCCACACGACATCATCGACCAATGTTAATAAAGCAAGAGTAAACCATCCCCTATTTGCCACACATGGGTGGTGACCATCAAAATACGGGTGGTTGATTATTGTTTTACTATGTTTTACTAACAATAGTTCGAATTCCTATGTATGTTGTTTTCATACATTTTATGTTCGTGGCCTGTTGCCAGTGTGAAGATCAACATTGGGTCTGACCATCAGTCCTATTCAGTCCTGCTAGTTAAATCACAGAAAAGATGAATTATTGTCCCCATTACAGACCATTGTGTGGGTTCCTTCACCAGCTTTGTGTGACCTACAACTTTTATCACCAGGATCACAACTACTGTTTGGGGCCAAACGGCTTCACTAGCCGCTGGCATCACGGGATGAATCAGCTGAATCATTTGATGGTTATTGTGAGTTCCGACTGACCCGAAGCCGGTCGTGGCTCTGTGTGAGGTAAAAGTTGTTTTTTGCCGTCGTGCGTTTCCAGTGGTAGCGGAGCCACGAATAGTGGCCTTAGTTTTGTCAGCTCCTGAGCTGGCTGAGCCATGGAGGACCTCATGCAGTTGCCGCGAGGTTCATTGGATGGGTCCGATGAACCACCCACAGGAGCCCATGCTCCGAGCTTCGGAGAAGTACCTCTTCCTGACTTTGCTAGGAGGAGGACCAGGGTGACCTTTGGCAATGTGGAACCTGCGACACCATCTTCGTCTTTGGCATCTAGTGACAGCAGTGGGAACTCAGCCGGAAGGGTGAGTGGTAGTTCAGTCGAGGGAGGTGCTGAGAGCGAAGTTAGAGGTGTCTCGGGACGTGCCGAAGACCCTGGTGCAACTATGGTTGGTTGGATGAGCCCAGAAAGTGACCCATGGGTTGATCGAGATCCATGGAGAGTACATGTCATGGCAGAGAACTGGTCTGATGCTTCGTCAGCTAGGAGCAGTGACGCAGCAGTGGATGCATGGGAGAACTGGAGCGGTAGCGCTCAATCATGGAGCGGTTGGTCATCAGGCAATTGGTCTGTTCGATCGGGCCGGGATGCCTGGGGAAACTGGGATTGGAGATCCGATGCATCAGCATCTTCAGACCGGAATTCAAATTGGTCATGGCGGGATGGTGAACTATCTGTTGGACATCGTCAGCGTTCAGGAGAACCTGAAGATAGCGATCAAAAGGAATTTCCTGGTGAAAATGGATCTGGACAAGGAGAATCACACCGGCTTGCTGTCAAAGAAGCGCAAGGTCATGGTGTGGAGATGAAACCATGGGATCCAGCATCGCCAGGTGGTATGGCAAAGGACTCTGTGAACAGGCCATCGGGTGATATCCCAAGTGGAGTCCCGTCAGTTGCAGGCAACAGCCAACAAAACATGTCAACAGGCGGGAAGATCAGCTCAACTTATCCTCCAATCTGCTATGCACGCCCTGGTGAGTCATGGGAGCAGTATTGGAGGAGTGTGATGTTCTGGCTGGCTTCTGAAGGAAGATCTCTTCCAGAAGAAATGCGTGGCCCGAGGTTGATGCAGCAGCTTAGGGAACGTGCAGGGAAGATCGTTCAGCACTTGACGGTCGCTGAGGTCTCTTCAGCACATGGCATCGACATCATCAAGAAGACTATGGAGAGGTCGCCGATCATCAAGCTGCTGGATCAGAAGCGAGTTGATCAACGCAGACAGAAGTTCATGCGACTGGCGAGATTGCCGCAGGAGTCCTTGGAGTCGTTCATCAACAGAGCTGAGATCTACCGCCGGGAGAATCAGTCAAGCCCGGCGTACCAGGTGGGATCTCAGTTCTATGTGGGGCACCTCATGGATGCCGCAAAACTGACAAAGCGAGACCAGGCACTAATCAAAGCTGCATGTGGAGGCGCCTTGGAGGATGAGGACCTGGTCACGAATGCAATCATCGACTTGGCGGATCAGCTGGAAGGCATTCCAGGATGCCCCATTGGAAGGGGAGAGCCAACATTGGATCAAGAAGACAAGTACTTGGTCCAAAAGGCTGGGGTGGCAAGCACTACTTCCTTGTCTTCGGCTTCTACGACTTCTGGTGGCGGAGGACCCCATCGACGCAGAAAGAAGTTTTTTGGACGACGAAAGTTCAGAGATGCAATTGATGGCAATCCTGGAAGATGAAGACAATGCAGAGGAGGAGGTCGAAGATGAGGGATTGGCAGAATTGTTGGGCGAAGAGTCCATGGACGAGGACGAGGACGACATGACGTCTTTTGGCAGCTCAAGTCATGCCACTTTGGAGACGGCTACAAGTGCAACTTCGCAGACATCACCATCGACGAGCATTTCGTCGGCATCCCCTTCGGGAGGCTTGGCAATGGCAGAGATCTATGCCCAGGAGTACAAAGCTCGCAATCGAGTGCGAGAAATCAAGAAGATGCGCCAGTACTTCCAGAAGGAGGCCAATGGTGGTGGCAATGTGAAGGATCGTGATCAAGTTCGCCGTTGGGTGAAGGAGCAGCAGAAGACGGAGCCTTGCTTTATTTGCCGTCAACTTGGTCACTGGTCGCAGGAGTGCCCGTACCGGAACAAAGCTCCGGTGCATGCATCGAATGTGACTTTTCCGGTGGCTATGGCACAGTCTGAAGCAGATTGGGCCTATTTACAGGCATGTGTGAAGTCCGATGCGCAGTACAAAGGGCGCTTGGGGTTGATCGGCAAGGAGCACGTCTCATGTCAGTTCATGGTGGACTCATCAAATGAAGTACATGACATTTGTTGGTCACTCACAGAGCTGGGGGACAAGATGATCTTGGATTTGGGATGCATGAAAACGGTGGCAGGCACCACATGGGTAAATCCGGTAGTTCAAAAATGGAAGGAGCATGGTCATTTTGTCAAAGTGGTGCCAGAGTCTGAATCATTTCGATTTGGGGACGGACATGTCAATCAAAGTCGTTATGCGGTCATTTTGCATGTCTCCATTGCCACCATCCCTTGTTTACTTCGTATTTCAGTTGTTGCTGGAAGCTGTCCTCCACTTCTTTCGAAACCAGTGTGCACAGAGTTGGGTTTGGTTGTTGACACTGCAGCACATACCATTTCGTCAAGGAAACATCATGTCAGAGCATTTGGATTGCATCAATCGCGTGGTGGTCACTACACTCTTAAAATTGATGATGTTGAACAATTGCAAGAAGTACCACATCACGCGTGTTTGGAACCTCATCGTGAAGTCATGCCTCTGCCAATTTCAAGTGGATCAAGGCGAGTGATGTTTGCCTCACCCGACGATCCTGTGGAATCGGCCGTCAACGATCCTCCCAGCAATGGCGAACGCCAACACCAACGAGATGGAGATGTGGGAGGAAGTCGGCCAGACGATCTCATCAGACGAGATGGAGCCAGTGGAAGAAGAAGTGGACAGGCCGAGACAGCAAGGAACTCGGAAAGTTCGTCAGTCTCCCAAGTTGCGGCGTCCCACAACTTCGCCGGGTACCAGAACTCAAGCGGCACGAGCACAAGCCAGTGCCAATATGCAGCTGGCACAGATGCAAGAGATGCAGATCCACATGCAGGAGATGTTCAAACAGATGACACAACTGCAGTCCAATTCGCAGGAAGAACAAGACACCAAGGAGACTCAGAAGAAGCCCCGTGCCAAGTCAGCCAGTCGGTCCAAGACGACACGACAAGGGGCTCTGACGAACCCCATGGGCAACTTTCCGACATTGTCACAGGCGTTTTCGAACGACCTCACGTTCAACATCATGAGGTCGATGTGGACGCAGACATTGACTTTCAAGTGGAAGCTACTCTTGCTACTGCTGCGCATCAAAGAGGCAGTCGAGTTCGAGGGCAAGAAGCGCTGGAAGCGCAACCCCAGATGGATCCTCCACATGCATGGCAGGCACCTGGCATCAATGTGGGGGCATCTAGGAGCGGCAAGGCAGTTGTGCTTCAACCCAAAGACCTATCATCTGGCAGCGGGCTTGATTCCAGAGGAGGAGGTGGTGGACCCCGCAGGAGCCCGCCGCCGAAGCAAGAGTTCAACCCGGAAGTGACGGATCCCAATGCACCTACTGTGCAAGAGCAAGCTCGCAGAGCGCGAGACCGAGTGGATTTAGTATGTGCAGGTGATCCTCAACAGGGACATCAACCAGCAGGTGAAGAACAGGCGACGATGCCTGATGATGGACAAGATACGCTTCATGCAAACATGGCCCCTGATGGACGGAGACAGAAGATCACCCTCAATCGACGACAGAAAAGGTCGATTCAGGCAGGTGTACAGAGGGCCCTCAGGACACATCAGCGTATATACAACGTGGTCAAGATGAAGTACAAGAGGTGGTCGCTGATGGAGATCTTTGCCGGACGGGCCACTCTGTCAGAGATGGCGCATGAGTCCGAGCGGTGGGATGTGCTGCCTCCACAGGACGTCCTGTATGGCTTGGATTTGACCAGTGAGGAACATCAACAGATGTTGAAGGATGTCATCGATGCTCAGAAGCCAGAGGTGATTACTCTTTCACCGCCGTGTGGGCCCTGGTCATCATGGCAGAGAATGCGGAAGCGAAAGGACATCCTCAGTGCACTTCGTCGAGAACACATGCCTTTCTGGGAGTTTGTGATGTGGGTGTGGTCATATCAAACCACCAATGGCAGATTGGTAGTTTTGGAACAGCCGGCACAGAGTGATGCATTGAAAATGCCTCTGATGGGAAGAAGGCCACATGTCTATCAGCAGGTGGTTCATATGTGCAAATTGGGATTGGTCGATCAGGAGAGTGGTCGACCTCACAAGAAGCCGACAGCCATACAGATGAACCATCCATGCATCAACTCAACGGCATTCCCTCCAGTGGTATGTGATCACAAACCAGGAGAACATCAACCCATAGAAGGAAGTGTCAGCTTACCAGATCCAAATGGTACAGGCCGACATGTGTCGATACGACGCTCTACGTTGGCATCACGATGGTCGGAGGAGTTCTGCCAGTGGTTGCTGACGGGATTGGAGAGTGCCTTGGAGGAGTCAGCGCAAAAGATTGTAGTCCCATTGCATGCACAGGTGCCTCCAAATCGGATTTGGGAAACCGTTCCAGCAGAAGTTGAACCAACACCTGAAGGACAACTCCGGCAACACATGAAGATGGTGGACAATGGCACCAGATACGAGTACATCAACTTTGCTGGAGGTGCAGCTTTGTTGCACCGGACCATTCGATCAACTTTGGCACATCTACACGTCTCTTTGGGACACATCTCGAATGAGAAGTTGCAGAGGATGTTGCAACTCAATGGAGCTCAGGCCGAGATTGTGCAGGCCGTCAAGCAGTTACAATGCCAGATTTGTGCACAGGTGATGCCACCAATGGCAACTCCGAAGGCGGCATTTCAGCGGCCTACATCCTTCAACGAGCGCATTGTGGCGGACACATTTTTCGTTTGGGATGCCACCAATGAAAAGTTTGCAGTGACACACATTTTGGACACCTTTTCACTCTACCAGATTGCCGTGGCTGCCAAGGACCCATCAGCAGAGACCTCAACCAACTTGCTTCGAGATAGATGGTTTGGAGTTTTCGGTCCTCCATCAGTGCTGATGACAGATCAAGGCACTGAGTTCCGTGGCATTCTGGAGTACCTCCTCACGACGTTTGCCGTGTTTCATGATGTGGTGCCCCCAACAGCTCATTGGCGGATGTCACTGGCTGAGAGACATGGAGCAGTTTTGAAAGTGATGCTCATGAAGGTCATCAAGGAAACGACAGTGATTGGTTTGGAGGACCTCAAACAGGCTGTGGTTTCGGTGACGGCATCCAGAAACAGACAGGCAAGAGTGGCTGGGTTCTCACCAATCCAGCTGGTCTTTGGCAAGGAATGTGGGGCCCCCAACAATCTCATGGACACCTTGGCTGGCCACATGAAGTTCCAGTTGGCACAGCCTGCCTCGGTTGATGAATCCTTTCATCGGGCAGCCCAGATTCGAAAGGCAGCCAATGACGCATTCCAGTGGATGGAGGCGAGTGAAGCCTTGAAACGAGCAGCTGGCTCGAGGTCAAGACTGCCTAAGCTGGAGCTCATCACCGAGGGTGCCCAGGTGATGTACTATGAACCACCAGCCAATCGCCGAGGACTTTCTCGTCGACTCCAAGATCAGATCTCTTGGGTGGGGCCAGCATTGGTGGTGGCCATTGAGAGAAAGGATGGAGCGGTGAAGCGGGTGTGGTTGCGCTATCAGAACAAGCTCAAAGGCATGCCTCTGGAATACGTCAGATTGGCCGTGGTGGAGGAACAAGAAGCAGCAGACATTGCGCGTGAATCCTTGATGGAGTTGGAGAAGCAACTCGAAACGGGACGGGTTAATGCCGAGCAAAGATCGTCTTCCTCTTCCTCGTCATCGACATCATCAGATAATGAAGAACTTCCTTCTGCTTCCACGGGGCCGGGGAAACAAGTTGCACGCAAACAAGTTGCACGCAAACAAGTGGCACAGAAACCCAAGCCCAAGAAGGAAAAGTCAGAAGTTCCGCTGAAGGTGGATCCAATGTACCCATCAGCAGAATTTAGTGATGAGGAACAGACACAGGCTGCGACCCAGGAGACGATCCAAAAGGCCAGCTCGAACTTGGATGATGTTCCGATTTCGATACATCAGAAGCAGGTGCCCTCAGAGTTGGCGAGTTCAGCAAGGCCACAGAAGAAGCCTCGAACTGATGGCAGAAAAGGAGATCCTGCACTTCGACCATTCTCGGAAAGACGAGCAGTATTTGATGAGGCAATGACAAAGACCGCCAAGCACTTGCAGAAGATGAAGGAGAAGCTTCAACCCAAGTCGGTGGACGTCACTGTCCCACGTGGTTCGGAGATGGCAGTGCTCAATGTTGCCATTACCAATCCGGATGAGCCCTATGTCGATATCTGGAGGTTCTACAATCCAGAGTATTCGGATTCAGATGAGAGCTTCGCAGAGGCATTGGCGGTATCCATTGACAATGATGTGCTGGCGGCGTTGCCTGTTGTGCCCACGGTGAACATGCAGACCCCGGCCTTCGACATGCTGTCCGATTTGGAAGAGGACGATGTGATGGCGGTAGAAAGGTCTGTGCTGCACCGTGAGACGAGGATGGTGTACCCGCAAGGGATGGATGTAACCATGCAACCAATGCCAGCTACGCCACAGACTCGACTGAGACTGCCGCCAAACATGGAACCTATGCTTCGAGACGTGCCAGCAAGGATGAAGAGGCCATTGACCAGAGAAGAATCGGCCCCCATCCTTCGCACACAAGGAAAACGGCCGACCCCGAAGCAGGACTACTGGATCCTGAGTTTGGAAGATGGAGAACTTTGTCGAGTGCATGTACAACCTCGTTTGCACATGTTTGACCCTTTGGCTTTTCACCGAGATACTCCAGAATCCGAAATGCCGGAAACCAGTTTGAAACTTCCTGGAGGAATTTCCAGGGAATGGATCACTGGAGTGAGGGCAACACAGGTGTACTATTTGCACAATCCATTACGATGGGGACAGGCTCGTCAGATCAATGCTGCTGCAAATCAAGGAGATGATCCATTCGGACGAAGAACTCCTGGTCAAATGATGAACGAGTTCATGTTGGACAATTTGCATTGGGCTGGGGATGGGATTCGACCGAGGTGGAATACCCAGCAAGATCTCCAAACGTTATGGCAGGGTATTACCCGTCTGCAAATTCGTGACCCTGAAGATCCACCACCGACATTGCACACATGGATGAGGGCAAGGCATTTTGCCGAACACCTTTGGCGAGATGGACAGGAGATGGTTGAAGCCTTTGTCAACATGAGAGATGCTGCTGGTTGGCCCAATGACACCTTGCTGCGGGATCGTCTGGGGCCTTTAGAGATGCAGGAGGTCAAGGACATTGTGGAGCACATCTCTGATGCCAAACAACAGGTTCAAGAGACGCAGATGAAGATGTATGAGGCCTTTTTCAACTTCGTCAATTATTCGGAGTTACCGTGCCCTTCTCCAAGGTCAACACATCAAGGCCTCAAGGAACTCTTGGACGCTCCTGAACCTGAACAGTTTGAAGATGTCCTCAAACCAGAGACGGGCAAGGTGCGCCTGGAATTGAAGTGGACTGATCTCTCGGATGCGTGGCAAAAGGCATTCGAACAGCCTATCCTGGAGGCTTTGGAGGTATATTTTCAACATGATGCCCTGGCTCCGGTGATGGAAGATGAGAGCATTGCAGCAGAAGAACTCTTACCATCCCGGTTCGTCTTGGTGAACAAGAGCGACCCCCGAAATATCCATCCAACAGATGAAGCTCTGCAAGGAGCTGTTCTCAAGGCCCGTTTAGTGATTGCTGGGCACCGAGATCAACGAGCTGGAGATTTCGAAACACAAAGCCCGACAGCCAGTTTGCTGGCACACAATGTGCTCTGTTTTTTGGCAGCGCAATGGAACTGGCTGATGGCATTCTCAGACATTTCAGCTGCCTTCTTGCAGGGTGACTATTTGCCGGACGAGCGCAGGGTTTTCATTCAGACTCCGAAGAACTACCCCTTCTTTGTGAGGCAGTTCTTGAGAACAAAGATTCCAGATGGAGCCAGAACAGATGTTTTCCGGATGAAAAAGGCTGGATTTGGACTGGCTGAGTCACCACGTCTGTGGTATCATCGATTCAAACGTGGTGCTGAGTCCATTGGGGGGAGGGAACTTCAACTTTGCCCAGGTTTGTTCTCTTTCTTTGGTCCTGCCGGAGAACTTCAAGCATTGCTTGCAGTGCATGTGGACGATGTGCGTCTGGTGGCAGACCCCGAGCAAGAGGAGAACATCAGGAATCGGCTCAATTCGCTTTTCAGTTTTGGAGAATGGAAACATCCAACAGAGTGGACCAAGTTCTGCGGCAGGTATGAGAAACAAGACGACGATGGCACGGTGATGATCCAGATGGATGCCTATGCAGATCGTCTTTTGGACCCGCCGCAGCGAGGATCTCCACATCAGAAACATCCTCTTCAACCGAATGAGAAGAAATGGATCGGCACGATAGCAGGGCAATTGAATTGGATGGCCAGACAATGCAGGGCTGATCTGTCATTTGGAGTTTCAAGGGTGCAACAACTGGCTGGAGTCAATGACCCCGCAGCTCTGGTCGAGCTCAAAGTGCTGGTAGAACGTGCCCGTCAACCAGTGACCATTCGGTATGAGAACTTGGGATGTGACGTGAAGGAGATGATCGTCTTGGCGATCTCTGACGCCTCTTTTGCAGGGATGCCGAAAGGAAGATCGCAGGGTGGTATGGCCATCGCTTTTGCCAACCCCAAGATTTTGGAAGGTCAGGCGAAACTGGCGATTGTGGCCCACCACTCTGGACTACTCAAGCGAGTGGTGAGATCGAGTTTGGCAGCCGAGATATCACAAGCGGCAACGACCATGGAAGAAGCAGATTTCATCCGTGCTCTACTTGCAGAAGCCCTCCGTCCGGACTTCAAGCTCAACAATTGGCTTCCTGCCGCAGCTACCTGGCGGCTCATCTTGGTGATGGATTCGAGGACAGGATATGACTTGCTGAATGGCACAGCCCTTGGAGAAGACAAGCGTCTGGCGATTGACATCGCCGCCATGAAGCAGGCATTAGCTGAAGATGGAGGAAGCAGGTTGGTCCGATGGGTGCCCGGAGAAGAACTTTTGGCAGATGACCTGACAAAGTTGGTGGGCAACCAGAAGTTGATGAGAGCGATGGCAACCGCTCTTTGGGCATTGAAGGACACGGCAGTGGCAAAGAAGCTCAGGGCCGATGCAGCAGCTCGGAAGAGAACGTACAGGCAGCGGGTGGCATCAGATAGAACAAAAGCTGAGGCCATCCGTACACGCTGACCAAAAGGGGTTAGTGTGAGTTCCGACTGACCCGAAGCCGGTCGTGGCTCTGTGTGAGGTAAAAGTTGTTTTTTGCCGTCGTGCGTTTCCAGTGTTATCCACATGTTTCTTGCCCAAAAAAACACAAGTTTTGGTGATTCCACGTAGTACATGGTTATACTCCAATGCCAACCGTTCTGTCATTGGATCCACGTTTCAGAACACATGTTTTCAACCAAAACAGGAAATTTAGAAGAAACATGCAGTTAGTAACTATCAACTCATGTGAAATCCATTTAGATAAATTGTCACTAGCTACTTGGGTTAAACATGTTATAGTAATGACAAATGTGATAACCCCAACAATTAACAATCCTTAATTTCACCAGTCATAGATGGTGGAACACATCCGACATGGAGGTGTATTTCGATATACGTTAACAGTTACCGATTTAATTCAACTACAGTACATAGTTATGCATATATTGTTAAACAGTAAACTATCTTGATATGCATATTATAATATATAATATATATATATGTATTATAACATGAAGACATATACAATAACACACGCACACATATTATATTATATTCATACATATATATATATATATATGTTAGTAGTAGTATGTTCTTACATCCTTGATGTGGGGTTTGCCCAGCCCCAAAAATCTGCCCAGCTAGGCCCCCACGGGTGCCGGGAAGACCACCGTGGTTCCCTTAGCCTTGCTGGATGGCGGCATGGTCGACGGCAAGGTGACGACGGGTAGGGGTGCAACTGGGTTACCAACAACGGGGGATTTGTTTGGGGATAACGTTGGGATATCTTGGGTATATTTTTTCGGATATATATATATATATATATATATGTATACATAGATAGATAAATAGATAGATAAATAAATAAATATATATATATATATCGTATATATATATATATCGTATATATATATATATACTGGATATGAGCAAATTTGAAAGAACTAGAATTATGAATCATGACCTCATGTCGTGCATTCTGGCATGATGGTTAGATTGCGCGGAATCATCCCCAAATGGCATTACTTTTCCGATCTTTTCCGCTATTTTCGAGTTGGTGAGTTATATATAATCCAGCCAGATCTTATCCCAGATTATTGTGAATATAACTGCTGGATCATGTTTACCTAATTTTGACACTGCACACTGAGAAAGACAACTAGAACAGGTCAACTCTTGGGTTTCAAGTTTTTTTCGGTGTTGGTGAGACATGTGTTGCCAGAATCCTTGGCACTGTGAACCAACATGTCAAGGGAAATCCATTGTTTGCCCTCTATTTGCGGAGGTTCTTGAACTGCCAAAGGGCAGCAGTTATGGAGGTGTCCAGTTACTTGGAGTCCAATGATGATAGTCTGTAGAGGGGAAATGAACCACCAATCACCAGCGACTGGCGGTATCTCCAACCTCCCAATAGAGAGAAAACACCAACAACAGACCTGTTTCATCCTGTGAAACATGTGAACCACAGGTCATTGTGTTGCAACCGCGGCGCATAACTTGCATCAGTGTTGCTCGGTGCGGGCACCTGGACTGAGATGATTTGTGCAGCCTGTGCCACTGCATCTAAGTTTCCAAGGCGCTTTGTTTCTAGCAATTCTAGAAGTCGCAGGCAAATATACACATTATATAAGTGTATATACTGTATGTAAAATGCTCGTAGCCATGAACACATACTTGTACATACAAAATATACATGTTTCCTTCCCCCTAATATTCAACACCTGCCAGAAACCATGGCAAGATTTGCAATGATTTAATTAATTACAGATATTGTCACATATTTGGCACCATTTAATAATAGGGTGTGTTAAATATTAGGAGAAAGGGATTAATGAATACAATACCATACAATGTACATATGATTATATCTATACAGATTATAACAATACAAACAGTCTATGCATATATATATATATATATTATATCAAATATATATATATATCATATCAAATATATATATATATATATTATATTATATATTATATATATATTATATATGCATTATATTATATTATATTATATTATATTATATTATATATATATTTTTTATATATATTATATATTATATATATATTTAGAATGACATAGGCTGTGGCACCAGAGCTACCCTTGAGGCGCATGGCAGAGCTTTGGGGGGAATCCATTGGAGAGACGATTGGCCTGGCATCCCAGCGGCGATGATTTGGGACGTCACCGGGCTTTGCGGCGATGGGGATTTTCTGGCAACGATGGGGCCTTTAAACTATTTATGTTATTTTATATTTATAACTTTTTTTAATACATTCTTATATGGGGATAGAATGGGATAGAATGGGGTAGAATGGGATAGAATGGGATAGAATGGGATAGAATTCATTTCTGTATTCATGAGTATTGATCACTGGGATATCCTCTTGTAACTTGCATGGCTTATGGAATTCACCATAAAATCATGGAACTAATTGCGCAATCTGAAGCATAGCTATGTTAAATTACCGGAGGGTGGAGTTGAAACAGGGAGAGCTTCGGAGAAAGTCGTTCAAACGTGAAATGACGATGACATGAAGAGGGGTCAAACAATCAGGAGGCAGTGCCAAAACAATCACCAAGAATAGGGAAATCAACACAGCCCAGCTAGCCGAATTACAATTATTCCATCCACATGCATCAGCAATGTGTGGCTGACATGGGGGGGAAGACCAGCTGGGAGATGCACACCATGGACTGCTCTAGCTAATTTATGCAAATATGTTCTGCCTTTTTTTGTTCATGTTTTTTTCATATTTTCCCCATCCGCACCATCATTCACGATTTCCCAGAGATACAGTACCCATAGGATCCATGTATGCTATGTATGGTAACATTTACCATCAATATACCCCCAATGTTACCATATTTATACCATACATGGATCCTATGGGGTAGGGTGTTGTTATTTTTTGGAGGGAGCCACCCAAGGTTATCGGATCCGGCATGAAGCCATCGTGTCCAATCGGACGCGTATCGAGGCCCATTGGACGTTTCAAACATGGATAGGCCGTTGAAAAATTGACGTAGAACCAGATAGAACGCAAAAAACATGTTAATAATGGATTGGTATGGATTTGTGAGATTCTGTAAGATGATTTTTCCAAGTAAGCATTGCCACTTTTATTTTGTATGCATCAATTTTGCTGACAATGCTTATGTACTAGTTCCTTCCTCCCCCTAGGTATAAAAAAACACCTCAAAACATCTCAAAACGATATGTTCACGAAACAGTCCAACGTAAGAGGTGCTAGGGATCAATAGTAATTTTTGAAGCATAAATGCGAAAGGTAGAAACACATGAAACACGTGGGTTGTGAAGGGTCAACCGTGAGGCAAACATTCCAAATGGAGATGAAAACAATAAAATCTACGTGGACAGGGCTTGCAAATTGAAAGTGCAACAAAATTCACAGTTTCAGTTAACACTTCGAAACATTTCCCGCAGAGGGGGGGGGGCAGGGCGCGCAAATAAATGCAGCCTCCACTAGCGATAGCTTGCCCGGAAGGTGGTCACCGAAGGTGTGCTGCTTCGCCTGCTGGGCCAGAATCCAGATTTGGAAGGCTACGATCCAGACTGACAACGTTTGAATCAGGTGTAGAAAAATGGGTGGTAAACATGGTAAACACCTGGACAAAGGAAAAAAAAAAACAACGTTTGGAATTCTTAGACAATGTTTGTTTTTCCTGTTTATAGTATTTTGATATTTTGCCACTTGCCCCGATGATCTCCAACATGACCTGGTGCAGATGTTGCAACTTTTGTTTTGATTTCTTTGCAGCCGCTGGGCTCCATTTTTAAGTTGTTTTTTGCATGCGCCGGCCTGTGCAGGCCATCTCTACAATCATTTTTTTGATAACCATTTGATGGTTGAAAAGAAAAACAAAACATTTGCTGGAATGAACTGAATTTGAAATGTTTGCAGGATTTTGCAGGTCTCATTGTGGATGAACAATATCCTGAAATATGTTCAACAATTTCAACAAGTGTTCAAAACGTCCAAAAACATTTTGTTTTTTTAACGGTGTCAAGTTCTCCTCTTGATCCGGGGAGATTACAACGACGTATTCGCCCAGCAGCAGTTTTTCGGTGTCGATGCGCCAGGTATCGGTTGCATTTGTTTCGACGAATTCCACGAACGTAGCATTGAGTCCGACCTGGCCTTTGCACTATGTCTACATTTGAAGCGACAAAGGCCATCAATGAAGCCCGGGGTGATGGGATGGAGTGGTGACTCACTGAGTTTTTTTTTAAGTTTTTTTTGTTTGAAATGGTCATGTAATGCATGACGGTATACTGACAAATTCAAAAACACTATTTTAACATGCGGGTGTATCTAAAATTGGCCGAATTCTGCGAGAAAAAAAATGCCAGAAAACGACAACACATTCGCATGTTTGTGAGTAACCATCTCATAATATATATATAAATGTCATGTGATGTGATGTGATGTAATGTAATGTAATGGAATGTAATGTATGTATATATATATAATATGATTTTGTAATGTTTGATTATGATATTCTGAGTATTTTCCTGATGTGACCACCTTGAAACAAACGAAATATTAATCATGTGACATGTGTGTCATGTTGCATCAGATGATAACAGGTTGCAACCTGGACATTGGAACATTTTTCGATATATCTCACAAAAAAACCTTATTTGATGTGACTTGGTTTGTGTCCCCCGGTTACTTGTAACATCCATTTGAACTATGTAAACCTAAAAATCTGCTAGTCGTATAAACAAAGTCATATCTACTACGAACGATATAAACTGTAAACCCATATGAGTAACTGACAAAATTAACGGAAAAATAAAGTAGTAGGGAGTGGATTTGGGATGTTGAATTTTCTTCACAACCGAAGTGGGCACCACCCACTTTGGCCATGTCCATTGCGAGTAGTAAGTAATGTTGTCCGCTCGGAGGTTTCTAATCCATGGACCAAACATGACCAAATCATCCAAGTCGAGATCCGGGGATCCATGAGATAAGAAACATTAAGAACCCCTCCAAATCATGAATAGTTTCACCATTTTCCGAAGGAAAAGTCATGTTAAGTCACTATTTTAGTTGGGTTAAACCACCATGAAATCACCATGGACCAGGCGTTTGGCCGCGCGGCTGGTCATCATGAGTGCGACCTTTGGCACTTTGGCGGAGCAGGTACTGTCGTAAAGACCAATTAAACATATACTGAACAGAAAACCAAAATATGGTAAAATCAAGAAAAACACATTGTACATTTCAGAAAGTAAATTTGGGAAAAACTAATGACATCTAATGACATCTAATATCATCTAATGACTATAGCAATAGCTACAGTGACTAATGACCAATAATCAATTGCTCAGAGCTATGGGGATTGAAAACTATGATTTTCTAACATTTTTTGGGGGAAGAAACGGATAAAATGAGGCGAACAGAAGGGTCCCAGCTGTCAAGTGACCCATGACATTTTTCAGGCCTGTGCAGGTGAAGAAAAGACCAGTTGGAAGCAGATCGTGGAGCAGGGATGTTCCCTGCAATTGCCACATGTTACTGTATATCAAATTGATATCGTTCATAGATAACTGATTTTTTGTTTGTTAACTGGCTACAATGGCTACAACCCCAAAGATGATAAGTTATTAGCTGAACAACATATACGGGGCGGTAATAGACTGTCCCTAATTTGTGGTGTATGAAATGTGCATACTTGTATACCTACGTAGTACATCCTAGGTGATATGTTGATATGTAATGAACAGTTTTTTTATGTTGTTTTTTCTTTATATTAGCCCCTGGATGGATGAGAATTATACGACTGTACTATAATATATATATATATATGTTTGATTATGATTTTATGATATGGTTGCCAAATATGTATATATATATTATTATATACATATCATTATTACCCTTATGATTATACTTTCGATCTTTGCCAGGTCTCTGGACTCTTGGGCAATGCGCGGACCATCATCAGCGAGGGGAGGCGGGTTTCAACTGAGCCGCTGTTTTCGCTGTGTTTTATGGGGGATTCACCGGATGAAAAGCTCCATTTTACTATGGGATGTTCATATCATAGAATTGGATGATGGGAAAAAATTACAGGAAAGCCCGATCAATTTGATGGTAAAAAACATGGTTTCCGGTTAAGCTTTTCCCTTAAACCAATCCATTGATCATAGGAAACGATGGGAAAAGTGATTTATAAAGATCACGCCATCTGGAAATAGCCTTGAAAGCCTGGACTATACCGTACTGATGAAACCCTGGATTACTATTGCATCTATTCACAATTTGGCCCCATACTGGGAATATTCAAGGCCGTATTGGAAGGAAACACATATGGTGAAAGTATCATGCAAATCATGGGCTGAACATTGAGGGGCTTTGATTTGACTGAATAAGTCTCAGGGCTATTGAACTTGATGATGAGCTTCCGACTGAAATGCAATTCTGGGTTCCAGGTGAAATATGGGGGTTTCCATAAATGGGATACCCAAAATAGATGGTTTGTAAATGTTTGTAAGTGAAAATCCTACTAAAATGGATGATTTAGGGGTACCCCTATTTTAGGAAACCCACACATCTAAGGAATAAATCCCAATGCAAAATTTCCCGGTGATGTTCCCATTTATATCGTTTTGTTTTTTTTGGCGTCAGCTATATAAATGGTTTTGTCTCAATATTGGCCCCCCTAGCATTCACTTGTTTATCATCATTTTCTTCATGTTCATTTTCATTTTTATCATCATAATTTTCCTTATCATCTTCCTTATCATCCTTAGGACAAAAAACACAGCGCCATAAGCTGGGGCCAGAAAAGCAATACCCTTTGGTAAAGGTTTACATAACTATGGAAAATCATAATGTTTAATGGGAAAATCTGGGAAAACTCAGTATAAATGGCCATTTTCAATAGCTTTTTGTATGTTTACCAGGCCGGGTAACCCGAGTTTGATCCAAAGTTTGACCCGAGTCCCGGTCGCTCCCTCGCGCCAGGTGCTTCCCCGTGCAGGTTCTGTACACCGGCGCCTTGCGGTTGACCGACTGGGAACCGCAAGGCCGCTTATATTGGGTTTCTCATTGTCCCAATATATTATATAAATGGTATTGGGATCCAATATACCCCAATATTAGGATATCAATATGCACTATATATGGTGCTTTACATCATGTTTATAGATGTTTTTTTGGCACCCATTTATATAAAGAGATTTTGGGGATTGCTCAGTATTGGGTTTACCGTAGGTTACCACATCTATTTTGCTCAACTAATTTTTTGGGGTGGAACGGTGGACGATGATTTCTCTATGTTAGTCGAGGTGGATTCTTCGCCATTCCATCCATTGGTGAATCATAAAGATTGCCACCAACTGGCGGTTAGTCAGGGTTCATTATTCATCATTTTCACAGAAATCATGGGTTATCTATTGCCACCCAATCAGAATTTTGTTGCTGCTCCAATCTCCATCATTTTTATAGCTGATTAATTAATGCTGATTATATAAAACAATCCACTTGTTTGCTGCTTAAATCCTCATTTCTTGCCACTCAAAGCACCATTCAGAAAGCCAGTTTAAGGCAACTTTTGATGATTTTGATTGGTTCAATTGGTTCAACCCAAAATTGTGATGGCCAAATCCTGAACAACTGCCACCAAAACCATCATTCTGCTGTTGTTTCTGCAGGTCCCCGGCGATTTGCAGATCTCGTTGCCACACAGGTGAAAAGCGCCATGGAGGAGCGGGTCATCAGTTGATGGGGAGATGAACGTCCGTGAAACATGTCATATCTATTGATATCTGGGTTTGTTTAAGGTGATGTTTTATTTCAAACCAATGGAAAATCCATGAAAATCCACTACTTGACTAATTAGGGAATCTATTGGGAATAGTTTTTCCTGTTTTGGGGTTCCTTGAGCAAATCAAAGTAGTATAAGTGTGATTGAAAACGGGGTACACCTTCCAACTGTCATTTTTTATAGGGAAAATTGTGATTCACTGGTTAACCACTGGAATTTTGTAGTAGCCTGCTATCAGACAATCCCAACTATACACCACCTATTGACTATTACTATTACCAACAGACTAAGTCACTTGGGGGAATCGTCCCAAAACGTCCTGCATTTCAAGTTGATCAACATTTCATTCGGCACAAGCCAGATCAATGTTCCAGCTCCCCATGTTATGTTGATGTGAATCAAGGAGCACGAGGGCGACGTTTTGGTCTTCGTACCCGGCGAGCGAGAAATCATGTTGGCTCCCCAGTCGTGTCCGGAAAAACGGAGCACAGCACACTGTGGAACTGATGTCGCGATGTCCCGGCGTCCACAAAGTTCCAAAGCTAGTTTTTCATGGTCACTGGGTGTAGCTAGCCAGCTAACATGGGCAATTGGATCAGTGATTCCTGGCTAGTAATTGTAAACCACTATTATCCATCTATGTCCCAATTATGTATAATCCACTTATTACACGCTGCTTATAGGATCATAGATAACTCCATGGCCCATCTACCTTACTGCCCAGCTCCTGAAATCAGGTATGTGTGGATAGCTTTGAACAACATGGGCGCAGCACTGGCCTGGCTCGGAAGTCATTCCACCAATTCAGACAATGGATGCGTACGAAACCACATGGGAAACTTTGGAAACACTTTACTTGCATCATACGTAAATAGAATATGTGATGTGTAATACACGTTCACAACTGTACAGACTATACACAAAGTTTATATGATTTATGCTTTTGGGTTTTCAGTCTTTGCAATCGAATTCTGTGATACAATTCACTTATCCATGCTTCAGCTATTCAGAATTGCCAGGTGGGGGACGGAGAACGTCCCAAAAACTTGGTGCCCTGGGTGTCTGGTCAGCGACATGGGCACTGAGGGTCCATGGAGGCTAGTCGGCTAGTGAGTAGGTGTGAGTAGTACTAAGAAGAATATGTGGTTGTATACCCTCTGGTGATTTAACATAGCTATATATATATAGCTATAATACAGAAAATCACTATTTTTTGTAGGTAAACCGTCTATATGGGCCATTTTCCATAGCTATGTTAGTTTACCAGAGGGTACGCACTACACACCGTAATTTCCCTGGCAAACATTTGAGATGTTTAAAGTCTAAAGTGGAGATGAATCTTAAGGGTGCTTTGGAATTTTGAGTGTCATGTCTTAATGTGCGACCCGCCATAAAATTTCCTTGATGACCTTCCAGCGGATTGTACTCTTGATGGAAGAACTCCGGCACCAGATGGTGTAAGAAAGCACTGTTGAAATAGGGCATGCCTTCTAACAGATTCTAACATTCACTAACTTGCTTCCAGAGACACTTCACAGAGCCACCTCCTATGTTTTTTTTTTTTTTTCCGGCTGGTCAAGGGTGATTAGAAAAACAAAAACAATGCATTTTTGCTAGGTTTGCCTCAATCTCATCATCAATTGATAATCACAATTACATTCATCCTTCAAATGTTCATTAGCCAAATAATCATCAATGATGATCCATGTCAAATCATCATTGAAGGCTTTGTCTTGATTGACATAGAGATCATCAAGGTTTTTATCCATATCCATTGGATGTCTGCTATACTCCAATGGATTGGTTTAGGGGGAAATTTACAGGAAACCCCCATATTTAATGGTAAAAAACCATGGTTTCCGGTTAAAATTGTCCCAACAAAACCAATCCATTGAATACTCCAATGATTCTGAATCCATGTTGTCACCTTTGTTTCCCATATGTTCCTGGCCCTGGCCAAGGCGCATCGGCTTATCGATGATTCCAAGGTCGATTTGAGCAAGAAGATTCAGGCGGCGCGAGCGACGATTTCGAGCTTCCGAAGTTAATGGGGGTACCCCAGTTGTCATCCAAGTTATTGGACCATTTTATTCTATTTTATTATTGAAACGAAACCACATTGTTATATAGATGATTTTGATTTTAATATTGAAACCTATGGTTTTGAGGATCCACCATTGTATTTTAGACAATTTAATATTGACAGCCATGGTGACATATGGTCACTTGACGTGGGGATCCGCCGTGATTCGGCTTGGTGCCATGGTCAAAGGTTGGATTGAACCAGATTACTTGGATTTGTCATGGGATGGGGATATGTCATGATATTTCCATGGGAATTCCATGGGAATATCATATGGAACATTTTGGAGATATTCGAATTAGCTGGTTGGTGCTGACTGGAACATGTTCTGAATGACTTTCCAGAAACAGTTGGGAATGTCCATCCATCCCAACTGACTTTAACTCCATCCATGATTTTTCAGAGGGGTAGGTGGCTCAACCACCAGATAGCATGCTGGTCATCCACAGGGGAGCAGCCCGTCCCCACGAGGTGAGTCCTTTGTATGGAACCATGGAGACCCACGAACAGGACAGCGTGCTGAAAGCCCGCGAAGGATGGCGAAAGGTGCCCAGCTCCCATGTGACGCTGGATCCCATGGATGTACCCTCTGGTAATTTGTGACAGTTTGCTATTGAAAATGGCCATAGAAATAGTGGATTTTCCCATTAAAAATGGTGATTTTCTATAGTTATGTTAGTTTACCAGAGGGTAATGATGTTCATGTTGAAACCCATGGTTTTTAGTAGATTTTACTGCTGAAACAGCTGCTGAAAGCCATGGTTTTTGAGTCCCCATTTTTACAGACCCCAGTGCAAGACAGTTGATGAGTTTCTTGATGCCACAATGCAATCTTAGAGAAACAAATTAGATTAGTCCATAAGATAAAGTCCACAACCATTGTGACTCAGGCGGATTTGTAACAACCCAGATCAACCCAGTTGTTCCGGTGTTTGGCAAACAATTAGCCTAAATATCCTAAATCAAGCATTTGCATGCATTTGTTATTTTTTTTACACTACTTTTTGAACATAAAAGTTACAAATTCAGACCCCTCGACCAACCGCTTTGGGTTGTTTTGTGGATTTATATCACATTGTCACGTTTTTTTGCACAGCTATCCAATGTGACCCATAGCGTGGTGTCTTACGGTAAAACCTTGTGCGGGGGATTTCCCAGCCACGTTTGATTACCCAATAGTTGGTGAGTTAAATCCTACCATTAGCGATAAAAATCCATGGAATTTCCATTTAAGCCCCACCAGGTGGTGCCCCATAGTTAGCTAAGTTGGTGCAAATAACTCCAATAACTATGGTTTATGGTAGATATAACTATAGTTAATGGGGTTTATAAACCAACTTATAACTGGGGGGCACCATCCTGCATGATGATTTCTCAAGTCAACCTGAAATGGCTGTTCTGGAGGTGATTTTGGCAACGCCTATTGCCGAGTCTTCCTTGACAGTGTCGGTAACCTTGGAGACTAACCTTGGAGGTTTCGGAAGTACGGAAGACGCCTTGAAGGTTGCGGTCATTTTTTTCTTGACCTTTTACCCTATATGATTGGATTGGATGACAGTGGTTTTTAGTTTTTCTCCCAATGGGAAATCTACTAATTACTTTTGGTTTCCAATCCCATCCCCGATCATATTAGATGCCACCCTGGAAACCTTAGGACTGGGTTTATTCATTTGGGGGTGTCCTAAAATGGTGGTATATGGTGGTATATACCATTATATACCTTGAAATGAAATCATCCATTTTAATGGGATTTTCCATTATAAAACATCCAGCTATTGGAGTATGGTCATCTTCGAGGGACGCCCAGAAAAACAGGATGCCGGGGCTTGACACCAGGCTTTGTTTGAACAAAGGATGCCCCCCAAAAAAGACCCAAAAACATAGGGGTTCATCATTATCACAAGGTGGTGCCCCATAGTTAGCTAAGTTGGTTTATAACTCCAATAACTATGGTTTATGGTAGATATAACTATAGTTAATGGGGTTTATAAACCTATAACTGCGGGGCACCATCCTGTAGGGGTTCATCATTATCAGTTTCCCTATGACATCTATGACTTTGTCATAAATTATCAACATGTCTGAAGAGTATAGCCCGATTTCAGACTTTGTCTCATATTGCCCCTTTTCTAAGTCTGGTCCGGAGGCTGAAACTGAAATACTCACTTAGCCAAGACTTGGCTCCATCCCTCCGAAACTAAAGCTGCCAATCATTTGAATTACATACGATTATACGGAAACAACGACCATTGTTACTTAGACGTAAATCTCAGTTTTACTGATTTTATGACAATAGTAGTTTATGATGTTTAAGAATAATTCCGTTGCATCATTTTTTTAGATTTCTACAAAGTTGGCCACTATCCAGCATTACTTTTCACATCAAGGCCCAGCGTCCGCATTGTGGTGGACACAGGCCTTCGACGCGTGAAGGTTGGAAGTTTCTGGCCCGGCAGCAGCCTCCAATCATCCAATTCTTAGGGCTTCCCATAGACAAACTCCCCAAGCATTTTGGGATTCAACCAAAAGAAACGAAACTATTGTGGGGTAACCCTTGGGGGGTAGCCTTCAGGATCCAGCATGAACCATGGAGACCATGGCCAGACGATCCCAGCTGTGTCCATGTCATTCCATGTCCAATTTTGACTCCTCGTGGAGGTTTCCCAAAATGAGGGTACCTTTATATAAATCATCCATTTTAATGGGATGGTCATGGATTGTCCATTGTAAATGACCCAGCTGGGGTATCCCCATGGAGGGTCCCCTCATACTTGATGCTTGCTGATGCTTGCTGGTCAACCATTGCCATTTTGGCCCTATAGCTCCAGGCCTCGAAATTTGAGGCCCTTCATTTTACGTGTTTCATACCGCGCGGTCCATTACCGCTACAACCATGAAGTTTCTTCAGGCCGGGGCGACGGCTTGGGAGGATGCTGCATGGTCATTCCGTGGGTGAATCACTGTGCTAAGATGGCCCATGTTGGGGTATATCATCTGGGGAAATTTCATCACGACCTCACTGCGACCGAACCCTGGAATCATGGTTAGGATTCGGGGAATCATCCCCACGTGAGGCCTTAATTCAGGTTAGTGAAATATTGTAATTTACCCAGATATCATGTCATGGTATCTCTCATTTTTGGACGCCTAAATCGCTTGATTTCAGCCGACTTCCTGGCTTCGCCAGGTCTTCTACATAAGCTTTGCAGGTGCCTGTCTTAGGTGGTTTAGTCCATTCCCAGGGCCTGCAAGGTGCTTCTTAAGCAACAAAACATGATTGAAACATATTGAAATTGAAACGTACCCTCTGGTGAACTAACATAGCTATGGAAAATCACCATTTATTAATAGTGGATTTACCCATTAAAAAATGGTGATTTTCCATAGCTATGTTAAATTACCAGAGGGTATTTGAGCAGAAATGCCGGTGAAATTTAGTGAACCATGGCGACCTTTGTTTTTGTTTGTCTTTTTCGAAAAGTCTGGGACGCCAGCGGGAAGAATGGGTCACAGCCAGATGGTGTTGACACAGATTGAATTCAGCATATGACTCATATGTTTGTTCGGTTTGGATTTGTTTGGTACAGTAAACCAATGCTTAGGTACTTATCCCCAGTTTTTTGAGATCAACAAGCTGTTTACATTAGTTTCTGTGTACTGTAGAGTGCTCATCCGAAACCAACATATATTTTTCCAAAAAGACTATATACAGTACAACAACAGATTTGTGTGTCCCCATGGTTCTTTATATTTTCTTGATGGTTTTTGTTGCCCCCCAGTGGTAGTGCGTGTTTTTTCGTTGTACTTCAACCATCCCTACGTGTTTCAACTGCATTTGGCAGCAATCAATTCCTTCGGATGGTACATTTTTGGGAAAAGAAAACTGCAGAAAACCAACCAAACAACATAAACTAAACATCAACTTAAACCATTCCTAGCTAAAAACAAAAAATCACCATTTGGATCCATTCGGTTGATCTAGAAACGAAGAAATGGATCCAACATATCTGGTTGGTGGTTTGGGATGTCATCCTTCCCATTGACGAACGCATATTTTTCAGAGGAATTGAAACCACCAATTAGATATGGCCCCCCAGTTATAAGATGTTATAAGTTGGTTTATAAACCCCATTAACTTTGGTTATATCTACCATAAACCATAGTTATTGGAGTTATTTGCACCAACTTAGCTAACTATGGGGCACCACCTTGTATGGATCAACCAAATGGTCCCTAGAAAACCAACATAAACTAAACATCAGGTCCCCCCGAGCTATGACGAGCATCCAGTCGTCGACCACCGAGGTCTTCTTTTTTCCAAAGCCAGTGAGGTTCACCGGGATATCACCAAGAGGGACTTCACCATATGTCCATTGAATATGTATATATATATATATTTATATATATTATGTATATATTAGATGTATATTATATATATATTATGTATATGTATTATATATATATATATATTATGTATATATATAAGTTATATTATGTATATATATATATTATACTATGTATATATTATATGTATATATTATATGTATTATATATATATATATATATATCATATGTGGTTTGGAACATTGTTTCCATATATTGGGAATAATGATCCCAATTGACTAATATTTTTCAGAGGGGTTGAAACGATCAACCAGTATATGTTTATATATAATATGTATGGAGTATATAGTGATTTGTTGCAATGGCAAGATCTAACTGGCAACAAATGGACTCTACTTGGACCTTTATATATGTTCATTTTTGGTTTGTCCAGGCATCGGTATGCATGTTCCTGGTTCCCACTCGCTGGTTGAAAAAAAGATGGCTCTTTGCCTCATTGAAGATGCAAAGGATAATAAACTCATTGTACACCAGATGGTGTTCCCCAATATGACATAAGATAATTGCCCTTATGATTAAACCATTCATATCCATTAATAGGGTTTTATTCCCATGAAACTGCCCTCTCCAGGCCTGCAGTGAGCGACAGGACGGGTCAATTTTTCGGGTCAATGACAGGTCATCGGCATCGTTAGTCCCACCTGTTGGTCCCAACACTTGCAGATCACCGGCGACTTTCATGATTGTTCAGATTGATTTTCAGGGATTTTCCCGTGTTTCTAATTTTTTGTTCCCCTAGAACATTGTCATTGTCTATCTCAGTCTCATGTTTTTTGTTGTTTTTGTTGCTACAGTTTTTACTTTGGGAATGTGTTGTTGAACTTGTTTACTTGTTGGACTACTGATTTCAGATTTTACCTTTCCATCCTGGAGCGAGACCGGCATGAAGAAGTCCTACAGGATCTTTTGGTTGAAGTTGCATTTGGGCTTGTTTCAAAATAGGGAACTCATCGTACCTTAAGCCTTGATGTTCAATGGTTCATCACAATACATGGACATGAGTCAAATCCCTGTTACCATGGTGAATATCAAAAGAGCTGGTAAATGGATATTATATAATCCCCCAAAATATGGTATGATAGGTTTGAGCCCATCCCCATATGTATGTATGGAATGGAATGGAAATGGACATGGAAATTGACATGAAAGGAATGGAATCCAATGCATGTATAATATATATGTATGTGTATATATATACTTTTTTTGTAAATATATATACACAGATGTAAACAGTATGTGTGTGTGAGTTACATCATTTGCCTCCCAAAAAATGTTTTCGGGTGTCCGGGTCAACTGCTGTTTGAATAATTTGAAATCACATGCAGCAGCCTTGGATGAGTTTGGCTCCAAAATTCACTCCTAGATTGCTTGGTCCATAATGCATGGCAGCATGGATACAACTATACATATAATTAACCTCAAATATGATGACAAGTTCATATTATAGGAACACTGTAGGCCATGTCTCTATATATGTATGATTATATATGGGCACCCATATAATCGTGTATATATATAGTTATAATATATGTATATATATATATATGCATATTTTGTGCGTATACAGTACATATATACAGTATGCATATTTTGTGTTATAATATATATATATATATATATATACATATATATACGTATTATGTATACAGTTTTAACTCTGTTTGTTTAACTTTCGTCACTTGACGGTACTGTTTTTTGTTCCCAACAGGACTGCATTGACAGACAAACATCATTTTCCAAGGCTTTACTGCAGGCGACAGGGATCCTGAGAAAATCTGCAGGATTTAAGGGTAATTTAGTCGATATTTAATGGATATTGAATGGAATACGATGGATATATAATAAAATATAATGGCATGTGTATAGATATATATATATATGTATATATATACATAGTTGAACAATGAACAAGCTGATAGATGGGGTGATGATTATGTTCCTGGGTTTGATTAAGGTTATTTGGTTCATTTTCCAAATGGAAATTGGAAATCTACTACTTGGGAATCTATGGGGTTCTCCCTATGCAAATCCACGAGTTTGCTAGTCAAAACATGTATCAAAACACCCGAGTTTCCTGTACATGTTCCTAACAAAACCAAGCCAGGAACTATTGACAAAAACTGCCGTATCGTTGGTGTATGATTTTGTATGTACCAGACAACATTCCAAGATATTCCAAGTACATGTCTTTGATTCCCATAAGAAATGACATCAGCAAATATGTGACATTGCAGTACGTTGTAGTTTCGTTTGGGATACCTGTCACATCTTGTGGCATGGTTCCCCAAGTGGTTTAAGGCTCTTACTGGAACTTCCTCATATTTGGCTAGGTTTGTCAGACAAGGTCCTAAAAAATCCTGCAGTTTGTCAACATGTCTCCATTATATAAATTGGAGGGTTTGGAGTTTGGGCCTTTCCCAATTTTTGTTGGACAAACCCATGGTGTTACCAGGGGAGAGCGCAGTCTCTCGCAGCACGAGGTCAGTCAAGTGAGCCAGAACCGAGTTGGGCCTCAGCTAGTTGTTGGTTTCAACTCTTGGTTTTGTCTGGAACATGTGGTACCCAAAAATCCTTTGGCTTATAAAAGAGGCCACAGGCAAAGTCATCCCCCTCAGCATCAATCATCACATAGTTGTCTCTCAGAAGTCTTTGCTACTGATGAAACCAATATCGCCGATATCCATTCTGCTGTCTCTTAAGATGTCCTTATTTGTTTTCGGAGCAGGTCACCAGGTCCAGAATTTGGGCGGTTTTCCCAAGAATCAGAGGATATCGGAGGAATCCAATCCAACAGTACTGAGGTATCCAAGCGCGATTCATTTGGCATGTGCGTCGTGCGCGATGACACGTGTCTAGACCTCTTCCTGGACCTTGGGGGGGACGCCGCAGGATTTGCTCACTTATGAATTTCCCGCAAGAAATTCATGAACGCAATAATTTAAACCTCTATTGGAGAGTTGTTCTTCTTGGTGTACCACATTAGATTCTTTGATGTCTCGAGCTTCACAATTTACCCAACAATTTTACAGTTCTTCAGTCGTTTTGTTGAGCATCTTTCTGTTGTTTTCTGCAGGAGAATGTCAAGACCCCAAGACATGCCATTCGTTCCACACCAAAAAGGAACGAACATCATTCGTTCCTAATATCCTAGAGCACAATGTTGACAACCAGTTAGAAAATGCTGAATCGTGGCAAAGAGAACTATGGCGTTTCACCATGTTTCACCCACATATGACACATATGTTTTTGAAAAGCACAAGCCATTTCCGGGTTCGATGCTTCATCAGGACAGGAATTGGGATGACGGCGTGACTGCAAATCAGGCCAGATGCACGAAAATTTTGTTGCTTCTGCCATCCATCGCACAGCATACCTACCTGGGGGTTTGAACATTTTCAGAAGGGGCATGTTGGTAAATATGTACCAAGCAGGAATACGATGTGGGGAACACTCCTGTATCTTGTATAGAGATCATTCCGAAGGAACCTAGATAAGGACAGTTTGTCGAATAATCATCGGTAACTCCATTGTCACTGGCCCAAAGCCAGTTTTCTTTTCTCCTCCGGTAATCAAACGTGGCAATTTTGTAAATGTCCCACAGAAACAGTTGATTTTCCCAAATTGAAACCTGCATTTATGAGGCATTTACCCTCTGGTAAACTAACATAACTATGGAAAATCACCATTTTCAATGGGAAAATCCACTATAACTGGCCATTTTCAATAGCTACGTTAAATTACCAGAGGGTATGTGGAATTTTCCAGCTTGCCACGCTTGATAATCCGAGACTGTCCTGGTTAAAAAACTGGGCGCGCCAAGCGATGAGGCGCCAGAACTGAAATGGTCAGATGCGCAGCTGGTAGTGGCGCGCTATGATGAAGATCTGCGCTGGTTGGATGCTTTGCCGGGGACACAACCGGGTCCATAATTGGCGCGGTGGTGGCTGCTAAATTTTCCTGGTTGGATTGTGGCTTGATATCAACATGGTATACCCTCTGGTAAACATACAAAAAGCTATTGAAAATGGCCATAGAAATAGTGGATTTTCCCATTAAAAATGGTGATTTTCAATAGTTATGTTAGTTTACCAGAGGGTAACATGGTTGTTGCTTATACATGTATTGTACAAAGATCACCGCATGTTTGATCAATTGGGACAGAATCCCAACATGGACTAAATGATACTTGAAGTCCCATCTCTGTGGTTGTGTTGGAACATGTGGTGCTCATTGGTGCTCTACATCCAATACTTATGATCATGATACTCATGTGTTAGTCGTCAACTATGCTCAAACCCTTACTGTAGGTCCTATGGTCCCAATAAATCGTTCATCAATGTTCAATGTTAAAACTTTCATCAATTTTCCATATATATATATATATAATCATATATATATAACATTATAATACATTATATAACATTCATTGCCACAAATTCAAGACATCCCCACGGCATCTACCGTTTCGTTTCAAAAATCATGGATTCCAATGGATCCTTTGTTTCCCACATTACATGAAGCCATACTAATCCACATGTGCCACGCTCGAAAGTTGGTGTTTCTCCCCGGATGGGGATGTTAGGCCGCAGATCCCAGCAGTGGTGTACAACCGTGGCGAAGCGCACAGTCGCACCGGCCGTTTTTGTTTGGATGGACGTTGGCACAGCGTTTGGAAATGGTGATCTATACCTATTTATAGATGATCTATGCCTATTAATTAGACATGGTGATTCTCCATCGCTTCAGTCCACCAGAATGTATGTCTGAAAAAGGAGGAGTTGTCACCAGCAAATATCCCCCGTACCAGCAAATATCCCCCGTTCTATGGTGATTAAGTGGGGCAATGATCATGAGGACAGAGGAGAGGACTTACCGGGGGTAGAGGGATATATTACTATCTTTGGGTTTACCTTACAATGGCTATTGGACTGGAAACAAGATGATTAGCCAGTGAACGATAATGGATGTTTACCATGAATTAGGGGAAAATCAAAATAAGCAGTGTTCAAGACACCTGTTGGTTCATGATTAGTTCGGTGGTTGTGCTGGATTGTTACATATTGGAAAATTATGGACTGTGCGCAAGGGTACCAACAAATGTATACAGGGGAAATCAGGGGAATATCATAAGAAAGAAAACGTATGCCCTCTGACATTTAACATCGCTATGGAAAATTTACCCATAGATGGTTCACCAAAAATGGATGATTTTCCATAGCAAACTCTTAAAAGACCAGAGAGTATGACTCTCAGTCAGGCTGGTTCGTCCATAGGTCCCCCACCTTCGGGGGCCGCAGGACATTTTTGCCAGGCGTTCTGCTGCCAAGTCCTAGAGAAAACCTCAGGATCATTCAGCAACCAAATAGAGGTCGTGAAGACCAGGTGGGGGGAAGGGCTCTGGGGAAAGGATTCGCTTCCAAAAGTCATCAAACGTGGGAAATCCCCGAACTAAATGGCTAATGGAGATGATCATGGGAAAAAAATGGGAAAATGTATATATATATATAATATATGTATAATATATATAATATATATATATATAATTATCTATGAATGGAAGATTTTCCAGCTAGCCATGTTGGATTCGTGGAAGGTATCAACATTGGATGAGTTCGGAGCACCCCATGATCAGACAGCCGATTAGTTTGTCTTTGTCTTTTCGCCATGGGCTGGTGCATCAAGGGTGCGAGATGGATGCAAGTTGAGATCTCAAAAATGGATTGGTAAACAAAAGATGAAAGGAGTTGACGACAATGAACAAGTAACAAGAGCATCAAGGCCTCTCGAAATTTAGATACCCAAATCTACCTTAGAGGTTCCCAATGTGCTTTAGTTGATAAGGAATCCAAAAGACCAAACTAATGAGCAGGTCAGACTATGTTGAAGTGTTCTCCACTTGCTTATCTTCAGGGTTTGAGGATATTTGAGGTTTGTCCGAATCACGTCATTTGAGTTGCTTCAGTAGGATTGGTTTGATTTGTTTTGGATTGAAATGAACTGTGGATATAGAACAGAAACTGAACATGCTCCCCCGAGACTCTTTTGATAGAATTCATCAACATTAAGTCCTATTTTCTATACCTTGTAATTCAAAGATCCAAGTGACTGAGTTTGCCCCTCGATCGTTGCCCATGGTGGTTGTCACAACTACAGAAGGTATGGTACGTCATGATTTGTTTTTGTCCGATTTTGTCGCAAAAAAGCGAGGTGTTCTTGGAACATATCGTGAATAATTACGACAAGTTGGCACAGGCCAAAGAGTGCGGGTGAGTGGGCCAAGATTCCAAGAAGAGTGCCGTCGACAAGTTTAAACTGGGTAAGCAGAGATGGACGTTTCTCCACAAAACGGAGTAGAGTAGAGTACTATAATTACAAACATCTTGGAAACATGCCTAGTTTAGCACGGAACGTCGATAGTTGAAGATACTGCAAAGGGTGGAAATCTGTTCTTTCAGTCAGAGATATCTTCATATTGTACGATCAGTCCAACTTGGTTAGAGATTCTGAAGCCCCTTCTGTTTGTCTATAAGTGGAAAGTTCCGGCTGTCCAACTGTCATACGCCTCAAAACATCCATCTCGCAATCCACAATATGATAGGCTTCCATACATGTGGTTGATGTTCGACGTATATTATATAATATATAATATGTATATATTTTATGGATATGTGATTATGTAAATGTATATATATAATGTTATAATATATACAATAGATATGTAATTATATGTGTATATATATATATATATATCTTATATATATATATATATAAATGTGGGTACGCTTAATATCAAATCGGGTACCTTATTTGTACAGAATGGGAGCACATCGCCAGGCAACCGTCTTCCTTCAGGGTTGGCCCTTTGGGCATTGTCCAGGCTTTTTGCATGCAGCAACTTGGCGTGGCAACGGGTGGTCCTGGTCCATTTAGCCTCTGGTAAACATACAAAAAGCTATTGAAACATGGTGATTTATAGTGGATTTACCCATTAATAGCATGGTGGATCTTTCCATATCTATGCAAAGGTTGGATGATACGTCCCTCAAAAGGCGATGTTCCATAGCAAACTGTTCGATTACCTGAGGCTAAGAGCAGTTCAACGAAAAAAACATGGTTCATGCTTGTTAGGGGGTAGACAACTACACACATCTCCCCAAGCTATTCGGGGGGTATTGGAGCCTGTCATCCATGAATTGATAACTTTCACCAGACATTTTGCCTGTTGTTTTCCAGTTCTTATGACCCTGCTGGTCAACCTGTTTTCTCACTGAACGCCATGGATAATGCCTGGTTTGGTGTTGCTGTTGCGTGGGGCATTTCCAGATAAATTCACTCTGGATAATTATTTATTAGAAACATATATACATTAATTTAAATCATTAAATGCATGTATGTATACATATGTATACATATGTATAATATATATATACATATATATATATATACATATATATATATATGTAGCTATATGTCTATATATAATTAGCTGCAACGTAAAATTATTTGCCAAAGGTTTGAGTTTGGGAATGCAAAGACCTGGTCCGCTGCTTAGCGCATTCCGCCGCCCACAGGTCCGGCGTGCCCTGACGTTTGTGCTCGACCCACAGGTGCAGATTGCATCAATGGACCATGTTTCTGGGAAAATTAGAAGGATCTCACTGCGACCGAACCCTGGAATGATGATTAGCAATTAGGGACATCATCCCCAAATGGCCTTTAGATTAGTCAATTATTGTAAGTTATCCCGATATTTGGGAGGATGAACATCCATTTACCATGATGAATCCCAGCCATTTGCCATTTGGGGAGAGGATCCCAATGGCTTGTGATATGTTGTGATCCACGGCCGAATCACAGTTGCAGTACCCCATACGTGGCATGGTCATGTCCGCCAGTAAAGGTCGCTGGCCCAACCACTGCGGGCTATGTGGAAGGCGCGGCCTGGCAGAGGTTGTGGCTAGAAGTAGCTCCCCAATCCCCCACCAGAGGCTACTATTCCATCTCATTGGTCTAGCAATGGGGCCCCAATTGGTTGGGACCTTCAAACTGCAGTGCATCAGCTTTCAGAATTTTGCAGCATGGTGAGGGTATCTACTGTATACCATTGCATGGCGCCTAAGAACCAGCCGTGATGGATCAATGCAGCCTTTCATGGCACGCAAGTTTTGACAACAAACAACTCTTTACAGTTCCTTTCTGACAATACATAACTGTTTTGTTAAAAGAAGCTACATCATGCTACATCCGAAGAGTCAAGTTTTCAGGGTCAGAGTATTCCAAACATGCTGGGAAGCTTGAATGTGTTTTTTTTTGTTTGCATGTCTTGTTTGGAGCGAGTATGCAACCGGAGGGGGGGGGCAGGACGGCCTAAAAAATCAGCAGGCTCCACAACATCCCCTGATGTTCCCTTCAGGCCTTGCGCCAGTGACCAGCACTTTTTGGCAGTATAACACTCAGGCGCCTGGAAGGTTTCATGGTCGAACGATTTGGCTACCAAGGCTTTTCTCAAAGATTGATATTACTCAGTGCTATGCGTTGTTTTGCTTGGATACATCGGGATGTTGGTCGAAGATATTGTGTTGCTTCAACCAACTGACACGATGGGGTTATGCTCATATATGCTCATCACTTCCCTGTTGCTTGAAATGATGGCTTGAAATGATGGTCCATGATGGTCCATGCCCATAATATCCCATTATCATATATTATGATTATAACTTATTATAACTTATAACAATGACTTAAGTTTTACCCAGAATAATGAGGATAAACCATGTTTTTTTAGATGGTGGAACGGCATGGCTTTGAACATCATGTTTCAGATCTCCTCCGAAGTCCTCCCTGGCGCCAGAATGGTCGCGTTGGGCTGGCCGTAGAAATGGCGCCTTGGATGGATCAGTTGACCAAATCAGGGGATGGAAAGTTACCC